CACGTCATCTCGACGCGGTCGTCCATGATGGTAGATAGGCAACACCGACGGGAGCTCTAACGTCATTCTTCCTCCCCTGTTCCAGGTTGTACACGCAGGCCTCACTATTTGCGGGGTCATGTAGCAGCGGGGGGTATGCGAGGCTCGTGCGCGCACGACGAGAGAGAGAGGAGGGGAGCAAAACGACATGGGCATGGACATGGTTGGAGAGGGAGAGGGAGAGGGGGGGGGAGAGGGGCGACGAGAGGAGGAAGGGTGGATGGGGCGCGCTCTAGGCCGTTGACGTCGGCGGGAACGGCTTGGCGAACAGCGCCTCGGCGTGGTCGCACAGGATCTCGACGAGCTTGGCCTTGGGACCCATGTCGCTCCACTCGCGGGCCGGGATCGGTGAGCGCAGGACGGTCGCTGCGGGCGAGAGGGAGAGCGGCGTGAGCGAGGGAGGGTTCGCGGAGGAGGAGGAGGAGGAGGATAAGCGACGCACGGCCAAAGACGACGCCGAGGTTGGCCGAGGTCATCTTGTTCTCGGCCGACAGCGACTTGACGCTGCGAGGGGAGAGCGTCAGGGAGAGGTCGGGCGCGTCGGGAAGGAAGACGAGCCAAGGAGAAAGGGAGGGAGGAGGACGCACTGGTTCAGGTGGCGGAACAAGAGGCGCGCCGTGTGGAAGTGCGCGGGCGGGAGCTGGTACAGGACGCGCTCGATCGCCTGCAGGCGCTCGTCGCCCTCGGGCAGCTCTGCGGGCGGGTGCGGGGGGGAAGGAAGAGTGAGTGAGGGGTCCGTGCACAAAGGCGACATGGGGAAACGGTGACGACGCACCGGCGGCGGCGACAAAGTCCTCGTGCAAGTCGTGTGTCATGAGGGGCACAGGGAGCGAGCGGAAGTAGTTCTTCATGCAGCTCGTGATGGCGGCAATGTCGTTGAACTTGTCGCGGTCCTGCAGGTCGAACGCGAGGCCGCGCTCAAAGTACAGCGTGATGAGCTTGGTCTGGCCCATGCCGCCCGTCTTGCGGTAGATGCCCTCGTACGTCATGCCTGCGTCGTGCGTGTGCGTGTCAGTGAGCTGCCGCGAGTGGCGGGCCAAGAGGGGCCGAGAGAGAGAGAGAGAGAAGGGACGGACCAAACGCCTCGACGGCCTCGATGCACTTGTCGACGACGGTCGGCACCTCGACGCCCTCCTTGTGCGCCTGGTCCTCGAGGTCGCCGCCAAACATGGGCGGACCGGTCGGGACAAAGTTGAGCGCGTCGTCGACCTGCGCCGACGGGCCCGACCCGCCCGGGTGGCAGCCGCTCGACAGGTAGCCCGAGCACTTGGCGTGGGCGTACGACCCGCAGGCTGCGCGCACGGTGACAGTGTGAGCGACTCGAGAGCGCTCGCTCAAGGAGAGAGAAAGAGAGAGAGAGAAGACGCACCGGTGCAGCGCATCTCGTTCAGGCCCCACATCTTGTCGCCGCAGTAGTCGCAGCGCACGGGCCGCAGGATGCTCGTCACCTGGAACGCGTGTTGCCGCACGCCCGAGTCGACCGACCCGGAGCGCATCGACACGACGGGCGACTTGGTGCCGGCCGACGACGAGCTGGGAGGCGGCGGCGGCGGCAGCTGCTGGTTCTGGCGCGAGACATCGGCGACGGCCACCTTGGGCTTGCTCTTGCCCCAGAACTTGTTGCGGCTCGACGCCTCGACGACCTCGGGCTTGGCGAACCGGTGCATCGACTCGCCCTCGGCGGGCGAGCTGATGTAGCGCGCCGTCGCGAGCGGCGAGCGTGCGCCCGACGTCGACGTCGACACGGACACGGACGACACGGTCGTGAGCAGGCTCGCGTTGCTCGGCGAGTGAGCGTGGCCGCCGTTGCGGGATGAGGCGACCGATGCCGCGTTCTTGCTCGACAGGAGCGACAGCCTGGACAGCGACTCGTGCAGGCCGTCGAGCTGGCGCGCCGCCTCGTTGTTCTTCTCGACGAGGTGCAGGTTGCGCGCCGCGAGCTCCGACGCCTCCTCGAGGTGCGCGTCGCGCGCGAGCTTGAGCTCGGCGACCTGGCGCGAGAGCTCGTCGCGCTGCACGACGAGGGCGTTGATCTCGTCGCGGTGGACATCCTTGACCGTCTCGAGGCGGGCGTTGAGCGCCTCGGCGACCTCGTCGTGCGCCGTCGACGACGACGTGCGGTCGGGCACCGACGCGGCGCCGCCCGGCTCGTCCTTGCCGAGCGCCGTGAGCTCGGCGACCTGCGCCGTCGAGAGGGCCACCTCGGCCTTGAGCTGGCTCAGGTGCCGCTCCATGCCGACGACCGAGTTGCGCAGGTCCTTGCTCTGGCGCTTGAGCGTCTCGGCCGTCTTCTGCTCCTCGTCAACCTGGGCGAGCCGCCGCGCCTGCTCGATGAACTTGGCCCGCAGGATCTGCATCTGGTGCTCGGCCTCGCGACGGGCGGCCGCCTCCTTGTCGTACTCCTCGCGCGCCATGCTGAAGCCCTCGAACGCCGACCGAGACGCACGCTGTGGCGAAGGAAGGCCAGAAAGAGTCAGTCGCGCGTCCTCCTCTTCGACTCACGGTCCTCCCTCGGCGTGCGAGAGAGATCCGAGAGAGAGAGAGGGAGAGAGAGCGTGCGACGCACCCTGAACGCGTTGTACCGGCTCTTGATCTCCTTCATCTCCTTCTTGGTCGCCTCGAGCTCGGCGAGGAGCATCTCGACGAGCTCGACGTCGAGCCCGGCGACGCTGAGCGGCGCCGACGAGCCCGTGCCCTCGGACGCGCGGCCCTCGCTCTCGCGCTTCTGCAGCCGGATGCTCTCGCGCACCCGGCGCGCGACACCGTTCCCTCCTCCTGCGCCGCCGCCGCCGCCGCCGCCAATGGCGCCGAGCGGCGCGTCGTCGTCTGTCGCGTCGTCGCCGCTCGCGACGTCGCTCGGCGCAGGGCTCGGCGTCCCGAGGCGCTCGATGATCGCCTCGTCGTTGAGCGACAGGGTCGGGTCCGGCAGCGCCTTGTCGGCGGCGGGCGCCGACGACGACGACGAGGGTGCGCCGCCGACGTGGTTGAGGAAGAGGAGCGTGTCGGGGTCGTAGAAGGACACGCTCGTGTGGAGGTCGTCGGACGTGGGGGGAGCATGAGATGGGGAGGGCGCGTGCGGGTGCGGGTGCGGGTGAGGGTGCGCTGGCGGGTTCGGCGGTGTCGTCGACGGCGCGAACAGGGCTTCATGCAGCGGCGGCGGCGCCGTTGCCTCGCCGCCCTCGATGCCCTGCGCGCCGCCGCCGCCGCCGCCGCCGAGCTGCGCCGAGATGGCCTCGTCGCCGAGCGAGGGCCGCGCCTGCGCGCCGTAAAAGCCCGACCGGCGCCGCTCGCTCCTGCTCGTCGTCGGCGCAGCGAGCGACGCCGAGCTCGTCGTCGCGGGCGCGGGCGCGGGGACGGGAGCAAGAGGCGGCCGGCCCTGCTTGTCCGGCAAGCTGGGGCCAGGGCCGAACGCGTCGCCGCCGCCGCCGAGGAGGACGGGCACGGGCGGCGGGAGCGGCGACTCGGGGCGCGCCGGGTAGTCGCCGCTCGGACGACGGGGCGACGACGGCGAGCCCGCCGCCGCGCCAAACTCGTTGCGGAGCCCGCTCGCGCTCGCCCGTCGCGGCGGCGCGTGCGGGTGCTCCTCGGACAGCTGCGACGCCGTGCGCGTGTGCGAGTGCGAGGGTGGAGGAACAGGAGGCGAAGGAGGAGCGTGGTAGTGGTGGTGGTGGTGGTGGAGCGGGCTCGCCGAGCGCGAGAGGGCGGCGATGCTCTGCGACGACGCCGAGGGCGCGAGCGGCAGGGCGGGCGTGTGTCGCGGTGCGTCGCCGGGCGCCGCCTGCGCTCGTTGGTGCGCGACGCCGTTGTGGTCGAGCGGCGAGGCGCGCCCGTACGACGAGCTGCTGCCGACGACCGGGCCCGGCGACGGCGGCAGCGGGCGCACCTGCGGCTGTGGCGGCGGCGGCGAGGCGGCGGTGGCGGTCGCGCTCGAGTCGCCGACGTGCGCCGGTGCCGAGGGCAGGTCGGGAAGGTCGGCCGTGCGGTCGCCGCTGCCGCCGTCGACAGGGCGGTCGAGCCTCGAGCGGCTCGAGCGCGGCGCCGAGGCCGAGGCCGACGCCGACGATGAGCCGTTGTCGCGGTCCTTGCGCGCCTGGCGGTTGCGCTTGGCCTCGGCGTGTTTGCGGGTGCGGGCGACGCGCTCGTTGTGGCACGCCATGCACCAGATGCCCTGGTTCGTCTTGGCAAAGATGAGCTCCTCGATCTTGTTCTGGCACGACCGGCACCGGAAGCACTCCGAGTGGTACGACTCGTCGCCCGTGACGATGGCCTCGTTGTGGATCGGCTTGTGGCACGAGCTGCAGATGTACTTGCAGTTCTCGCACACGGGGTTGCCGTCGGCGAGGAGGAGGAGGCTCATGTTGTGCTCGACGTGTCGGCTGCACTTGGCGCATCGGCTGTGTGGGAGGCAATCGAGTCAGTACACGGTGCTGGGGCGCCAAAAGAGAGGAACGTGGACGCACAAGCTGCGAGGGAACGGTCGAGGGAGAGGGGGAGGGAGGGAAAACGGTCAGTCCTGCTCTGCTTGCTCACCCATCTTCGAGGCGACGCACCAGTCGACGCTGTGCACAGAGAGGTCCGTCAGGTCGGGCGCAAAGAGAGAGAGAGACGAGGCGAGAGAGGGCAGGACGCACTGGAAGAAGCTCGACCCAAAGCTGACGACCGTGTTGTCGAGGCTGTCCTCGAGGCCCTGCTTGCAGCCTGCGTGCGCCCGACCGTTCCTCAGCTCACGTTCGCCCTCGAGAGCAAGGACGATTCTCAGGCAAGGAGAGAGAGAGAGGGAGCGCACCGTTGCACTGGATGGGCTCGCCGGTCGCGGCGGCGCTCGACGCCGAGAGCGGGAGCGCGTGAGCCTGCGCCGAGCTCGAGGGCTGCATCGCGGAGGAGGCGCTCATCGGTGTGTTGGCGGGCTCGTGCTCGGGCGGGGTGGCGGCGGGAGGAACGAGAGGAAACGGGAGAGGGTTCGAGGTGGGGAGCTGGAGCGAGGGTTTCGAGGGACGGCGTCGTGCGGGATGGTCTGGCGGGTCGACGTGCAGGGTCGGTGCGTGCTCGGTGTTGCTCGTCACTGCGGTGCTTGGTTGCGCAGCGTCGTCGAGCGAGCCGAGGTGGGAACGACGAGCGGTCCGGCCGGGATCACGGCGGGGGCTCGAGGAGGCGTGCGACGGTGCTGCAGCTCGAGGTGCCCGGCAGCGTACGGCTTGCTGGCGCGTGTCAGGCGGCCGTCTGGTGCCCAGGGAGCGCGGCGAGGGGGCGGGGAGCGACGCGTGGAGGTTGCGCGCGACGAGAGCTGTGCGACGGCTCGGCGGAGGGCGCGTGAGGGTGCGGCGGGCTGAGGGCGGACGGGCAAGCGCGTAGGGCGGTGCGCTGGTGGTCGACGCGCTGCACTCGCTCGCGCGGTTGTTGTGGCTGGCTGCAGGCGAGGCGGGGGCCGCCGTCAATGGCGCCCGGCCCGCGCGCGGCGCTCTCTCTCTCTCTCTTGCTCGCTCTCTCAATGAAGAGCCAGTGAGGACAGACAGAGTACACGAGTTGCACAAGGAGGCAAAAAGGGGGAGCTCCAAGGGGAGGGACGGGGCGAGTAGCAACACTGACAAAGGAGAACGGGCTCGAGAAAGCGAGAGAGACGACGACGTGGGCGTTGACCTGGCGTTGACGACGGAGGAACCTGAGGCGCGGACGAAAGGCGAAAGGGGGCGGACAGAGAGAGAGAGAGAGAGAGGGGTGGCTCAGAGTTGCGACGGGTACGCCTTGCGGCTCGCCGCCGCGTCCTCGGCCATGGCCGACTTGAGCGCCTGCCTCGCCGCCTCCTGGCACGTCGCCTTGAGCTTCATCCTGCGGGGGTAGAGGCGCCACCGAGTCAGTGACCTGCGACGGACAGAGAGAGCGAAAGAGAGGGAGAGGAGGGGACGCACTCGGAGCACAGGCCGTCGACGTCAAACTCGTACTTGTCGCCGCCGGTCAAGAGCGGGCAGCCGGCCTCGTACGCCCTGACGTTAGCCGCCGCCGGCGACGCCGACGCCGAGCCGACCCTGGGCGCCAGGCCGCCGGTGAAGAACGACCCGGGTGACGGCGCCGTGCCCGTCGACGACGACGGCGGTCCACCGAGCGGCGATGGCGACGCGTTGAAGTAGGCCGCGAGCGGGTCCTCGGGGCTCGTCGGCGCCGTGTTGGTGCCCGTCGTCGACGCGAGCGAACGCGCGCCGGACGACGCCGCGGCCGCCGGGGCAGGGGGCATGGGCGTCGACGCAAACAGGGCGTCAAAGTCGCTAAAGGTCGACAGGGGCGCGGGCTGGGTCCCGAGCTCGGCGAGCGGGTCGCGGTACGCCATGAAGAGGTCGGTCGACGTGCCCGGTGAAGGGCCGGGCGCGAGCGGCGACTGGGCCGAGACGCCCGACGCGGGCGAGGCGCTGAACGCGCCGAGGAAGAGCGGGTCGTCGAGGCTCGTGGCGGTCGCGAGACCCGGGGCGGCGGCGGCACTCGTCGATGACGACAGGGACGAGGTCGAGGGCGGGAGCGAGTAGGCCGGCGCGGTCGCAAACAGGGGCGCGCCCGAGAGCGACGACGTCGACGCGCCGAGGAGGCTCGCCGTGTCAAACTTGAAGCTCGAGTTGCCCTCGTCGAGGCCGTCCTGCGACACGGGCGGCGACGGCGGCTTGAACGAGGGCGCCTGCGGCATGGCGTTGGACCCGCTCACGTCCTTGGTGTAGTCGAACGTGAACGTCGACTCGTACACCTTGAGGCGCTCGTTCTCGTTCTGCAGGCTGTGGCGAGGCGGGAGGGGCAAGGGCGGGTCAGCTCGGTCGCCTCCTCGAGCCGGCGCAGGAGGAAAGAGGGGACGCACTTCTCGAGGAGCTGCTTGAGCGCCGCGTTCTCGGCGTCCTGATCCTGCGTGCGCTGCTCGAGCGACACGACACGCTCCTCGAGCTCCTTGAGGTGCTGTAGACCGGGGCGAGAGAGCGCGAGAGTCAGTCGCACGGCCTCGACGACGAGGGCGAACGAGAGAGGGACGCACCTTCTCTTTGCGCTCGCGGAAGTTGCGCTGCGCCTGGCGGTTCTGCGCCTTGCGACGCTCGGACGTCTTGCCCTTGTTGCCCTTGCCGTCCTCGGGCGACTCGCCTGCGCGGAATCGGGATGCGCGAGTCAGCTCTCGCGCGCAGGTGGAGGCAGGGAAAGGGGGGAGCGAGAGGGACGCACTGCGCGCAAACTCGCCGTCCTCGCCGGTCGGGTGCGAGTGGTGACCCTGGGCCTGGTTGGCGCCCTTGCGGTCCTTGACGGCGCCGGCGGCCGACGCGCCGTTCTTGCGCTTGTCGTGGGCAGGCGCCGGGGTCGACGTGCCGGCCGGGGTGGAGCGGACGGGGGACGAGCGACGGCCACGCGAGGCGGTGAGCGGTGGAGGTGCGGTCGCGGTCGAGCCCGAGGCGGTCGCGGCGCTGGTCGAGTTGGCGCCGTCGCTCGAGGCCGGGGACGCCGAGTCAGACGTGAGGTCCTCGGGGGAGGAAGGGTCGTTGGCGCTGCCGAGCGGGGCGAGGGCGGTCTGCGGATTGAGGTACGGGACCGCGATATCGCTCTTGCTGTTGTCGAGGAAGCTGGCGAGGCTCGCGAGGTCTGTGGGCGGCGAGAAGACGGTGAGCTGATGGCACACGGGGGACAAGGGTCGAGGGAGCGCAGGAGACGGAGGAGGGACGCACAGTCCTGGCCGGCCTGGTCAGAGAGGAAGTCGGGTGCTGTCCAGCTGTCCATCGCGGCGTCTGGTGCTGGCGACGACGGTATGGCTGGAGCGGAGAAGACGACGGAGTCGCCGCTGTCCACGAGGCGCTGAAGTCAGCAGAGCTCGCGCCTCGGCTCTCGCTCTGTCGGGCTTGCTTTCGCTTGCACGCACTTGCATACTGCGTCCGACGAGGTCCCGGGTACTCTCGTTCAGCCTCGTAGCCGTGAGCGTGTGAGAGCGAAGCCTGCTCCCACAACTCGAGGTGATCCGGGCACCTCTCAGAGAGCTGTGCGAGTGCTATCGAGAGCTACTGAAGCAGTGCAGGAGCCGCTGCGAGGTGTCGTTTACAGCCTGGGCGACTTTCCCCCTGGCCGCGTCGTCGTCGTCGACCCCGCGTTCGCCTCGTCGGGCCCGCCATCTTCGAGCTTCCCGCCTTGCTCGCACCACGCACCGCTTGCGCACGCGCACAGACGAGAGCACACCAACCACCTGCGCCCCCGCCGCATGCCCGCAGCGCCACCAACGCGACTCGACACCCTCCTCGCTCGCCTCCCCGACCACCCCGCCTCAGCCGAGCCTGCTGCGCCCTCGCTCGCCCACATCGACCGGCTCGTCATGGACCGAGTGCGCGCCGCCCTCGTCGCAGCGGCCGACTCGCGAGGAGGGAGCGCCCAACAGCCCGGCGGCGGCGGCGGCGGCTGGCCAGAGTGGCCCACGTCGCCCTCGGAGCCCGACCCTTCGGTCCCGACGCCTCAGCCTGGCCACGGCAGCAGCCACGCAGACCATGTGCGTCCCCGACAGTCCTCTCCCACGAGCCTGCACAGAGCGCATACTGACCCTGTGCCCGCCGCGCCTGCCCCCTTCGCCGCCCCGTCCTCCTCCCCGCCTCGGTCACCTACCTCGGCTGTGCAGACCCTCGCCATCCTCATCCCGCTCATCGTCGTCCTCACGACCCTCCTCGTCCTCACCTTCCTCCTGACCCTCATCCTCCTGCGGCGCAAGCGCGGCATCGAGCTCAGCGACGAGGGCGGGCCGACCAACCTCGAGCGCGAGGACGACGTCGAGGGCGAGGGCGGGCTCGACGGCGTCGAGTCGCGATGGCTCCAGACGGTCGACGAGCAGACCAAGATGGGCTACGTCCGCGCCAAGAGTGCGTCTCCCTCTCGTCCTCGCCTCCCTCCTCGCGACCGACCTCACGAACCTGACCTCGTTCTCTTTCGCGCGTCCCGCAGTCTGGCAGATGCAGTACCCGCCCAACTCGCAGCCGACCGAGATCACGCTGTCGCAGTTCCTGTCGATCCAGGAAAAGGGCGTCTCGGCATGGTCGTTCGAGCCCGACTACGAGTCGAACCCGGCCATCGTCGTCGAGCAGCGCACCGAGATCACGTTCCTCGCCGACGGCTACGGCATGGCGCCGGAAGAAGGCGGCGGGTGCTGCGTCCAGAGCAACCTGCCCGTGCCCAAGCTCAACGACGTGTACTACTTCGAGTCCAAGATGTACGAGAAGCCCGAGGCGACCAACGTTTCGATCGGCCTCACCACCAAGCCCTACCCGTCCTTCCGCCTCCCAGGTGCGTCCCCTCCCGCCCGAGTCCCTCTCTCTCGAGACGTATCTGACGAGCGCCCCCTCTACAGGCGTCAGCCGGTACTCGGTCGGCTACCATTCGGCCGACGGCTTCAAGTCGCACTCGTTCCCGTTCACGGCCACGCCGTACGGCCCGCCCTTGCTCGAGGGTGACACGCTCGGCGTCGGGTACCGCCCCCGCACCGGCACCGTCTTCTTTACGCGCAACGGCAAGAAGCTCGACGAGGCCTTTGTCGGCTTCAACCGCCACAACGTGTTCCCGACCGTGGGCGCCGACGGCCCGTGCAGCGTCCACGTCAACCTCGGCCAGGCCGGGTTCGTCTTTATCGAGGCCAACGTCAAGAAGTGGGGGCTCGCGCCCATGATGGGCACGCTCGCGCCCCCGCCGGCGTACGGCTCGGAGCGCGGCAGCATCCTCCTCGAGTCGGCCGCCAACCCGGCGTCGTCGTCGTCGGCCTCGTCGGCAGCCGCAGCAGCAGCTCAGCGCCGCAGGCAGCACTCGAACCCGTCTTCGTCGTCGTCGTCGTCGCGCGGCGCACCGCCCTCGGCGCACCGCCGCACGTCGTCCCTCCCAGCGTCGGCCTCGTCCGCCGCCGCCGTCCTCGGCGCGACGCCGACGCAGCCGATCCGGCCCTCGCCCCTGCGCCGCGCGCACTCGCGCGCAGCGAGCGCGTCTTCGTCCTCGGGCGGCGGCGGCGGCGGCGGCGGGAGCGGCGCGCGCGCCTCGCCGGACCGCGACGGCGCGGCAGAGGGCGACGAGCCGAGCGGCGGGATCGACGACGGCGACGTGCACAACCCGCCGACGCCGGGCTTGCTCGACATCAGCCTGCACTCGATGCACCGGTTCCCGGACGCGCTGCTCGAGTCGGACGAGGACGCCGAGGGCGAGGGCGAGGGGAGCGATGCGGCGGAGCGCGAGGACGACGAGGGGGAGCAGGAGCGAGAGGTGGACGAGACGACGAGGTTGGTGGACGTCGAGGCGTCGAGGGAGGACCGACGAGCGGCGAGGACGCAGGGCGACGGCGCGAGTGCGAGGAGCGTGAGCCCGCCGGCCTACAACCCGGTCGACCCTTTCGTGCGTCCTCCTCCTCCCTCCTTCCTCTTCTCGCCTGTGACCCTCACTGACCTGTCTCTTCCCCCGCCTGCGCAGATGTACGCCCCAGGCGTCGCCGAGACGATGCTCGAAGACGCCTTTGCGTCCGCCTCGCCGTCGACCTCGGCCGCTCCTCAAGGCGGCGCCAACCCGGGCACGCGCGGCGCAGCGTCGCAGCTCCTCATCTCGCCGCACCAGGCGGCGCTCATTGCCCAGTTTGCGCGCTCTCGGCGCGGCGGCGGCGGCGGCGGGAGCGGTGGGAGCTCGCCCGGCCTGTACGAGGGCCGGACGGACCAGGGCGGGCCGCCGGGCTCTGGCTTTGGCGGCCGGGGAGGGGCGGGCAACTATGCGGGTGCGGGGCAGGGCGGCATCTGGAACTGGTTGACGGGGCGGGCGGCGGGAGGAGGGGCAGAGGCGCGCGCCGAGGAGGGTCAGGCGCAGGGTCCGCCGGCGGCGGCCTGAGCGCCTCGCGGCGCTCTTCCCTTCTCTCTCTCTCTGGGTGTGCGTCTCTGTGTTGTGTCTTTCGTTCTTTGCGTCCGTCGCCCCCCTACTTGTTCCCCTCGTTCCTCCTCCCTCGAGCGAGCCGTCCTCGACTCTTCCCCTCTCCTAGATCCCCCCGATCGTGTCCCAGCAGCCGAGGTGCGAGTGCCGAGGCGGTGCAAACAGTGTAGCCTCGCAACTCTCTTGCTGCGTAACGATGGCGAGAGGCTGAGTGGAGCTATGGCTTGGCGCCGGCGCCTCCGCCTCCGCTCTCCGAGGGGGCCGAGTGCGCGACCTCTCGCTCTTCACCACTCGCTGCTGCAGCTCTCGACGATGAGCTCTGCTGCCAGGACACGCACGCCTGGCCACCGCAGCTGGAGCGCGCGAGCGTTCACGGCCTCGCTCGCCCTCGCCCTCGCCCTCATCGCCTCGCCGCGAGGTGCCTGGGCTGCCTCGCAAGTGCCGCCCGCCCTCCACGAGCACGCCCTCAGCCACCCGCAGGACCTCTCCTACCACGTCCTCCCCCGAGCCGAGCCGCACACGCCCGCGCCGCAGCTCGGCAAGCGCGACACTCGCCCTCGCCGCCCGTCACTCGACAGCTCGACCCCGCCAGCGTGGGACGACCGCTTCCTCCTGTCGTTCCTCGCGCACGATGGCGAGCCCGTCACCATGTCGCTGCGCCCATCTGCCCACCTCGTCCCGGCAGCCGGCGTGCGCAGCGTCGAGCGGTGGTTGGACGACGAGTCGGGCGAGTGGAAGTCCGCCGAGCGGGTCCTCGCGCGCGCCGACATGCGCGCGTACGAGGGCTGGGTCGTCCCCGACGACGACGACGTCGAGCGGTGGATCCGCGAGGAGATCGCCGGCGTCGTGCGCCCCGTTCGCGCCGGCGCAGGGTGGGCGAGGATCGTCCTGTCGGCGGCCGAGGCGGACGAGGGCAGTGACGACGCGCCGCTCCGGTTCCAGGGCACGTACGAGAAGGGCGGCGAGCAGTTCACGGTGCACTCGACCGAGCGCTACCTGCGCACCAAGGACGAGGTCGACCCGGAGCCGCCGTTCGTCACGCCGCGCCGGCGGTCCCGCCGCGCGTTCGGCGGCGCAGACGACGCCGTCCTCGCGCCTCGGCACCCTTCGATGGTCATCGTGCGCGAGAGCGCCACCATGAGCCCGCGCGAGCGCATCGCCGCCCTCCAGAAGCGCGGCCTCCCGCTCCCCGACCCCGACACGCTCCGCGCCGGCGGCGAGCCCGCCTCGTCGTGCTCGCACGACTCGCTCGCGTTCAACGTCGACCCGTCGCACCCGGTCTACGCCGCCCAGTACCCGCAAGTGTCGTTCGCCAACTCGACATCGTCGTGGCGCTCGTACCTGTCCGGCGGCGCGCACGTCGCGCCCTTCTCGCCCGCCGACCACGTCTCGAACCCGTTCGCGGCGCCGCCTGCGCACCGTTACGTCCCGAGCGACCGTCGTGCCGCCCTGTGGAAGCGCCAGGGCGACGACATCAGCGGCGGCGGCGGCCAGACGAGCAACTTTATCAACTCGATCGGCGACACGAGCGGGTGCCCAAAGGCCGCCGTCGTCGTCTTTGTCGGCGTCGCGAGCGACTGTACCTACGTGCGTCCCGACTCTTTCTCTCTCTCCCTCTCTCTATTCTTTCGAGCAGGCGCACTGACTCGTCGCCCTCGCTCACAGACCCAGTCGTACGGCTCGACCGACGCCGCTCGCGAGCAGATCCTCACCGACTTCAACAGCGCCTCGGCCCTGTACCAGCAGTCCTTCAACGTCTCGCTCGGTGCGTCCCCACGCTCTCTTACTCCTCGTCGTCGTCGTCGCCGACTCACCTCGTCCCTCTCGCGCGCGCACAGGCATCGTCGAGCTCGCCGTCATGAACTCGACCTGCCCGTCGTCGTCGGCCCAGATCGACGAGTCGTACCCGTGGAACTTGCCGTGCCAGGCGTCGGGCAGCAGCGGCAGCAACATCGGCGTCGACCTCAACACGCGCCTGAGCATCTTCTCGCAGTGGCGCGGCGACAAGGGCGGCGCAGACGGTGCCGGGCTGTGGCACCTCCTCACGGCGTGCCAGACGAGCCGAGAAGGTGCGTCTCTCGCGCTCTCTCTCTCTGTCCTCGGCCTCGTCCTCGTCCTGGATCGTCGCACTGACTCGGTCGACCTCGCGCAACAGTCGGCGTCGCGTGGCTCGGGCAGCTGTGCAGGGTCAGTGCGTCGACCAACGGCGGGCAGACGACGAGCGGCACGGGCGTGACGGCCATCACGCGCAGCGAGTGGCAGGTCATCGCCCACGAGATCGGTCCGTCCTCCCCCTCCTCCTTCCCCTCCTCCTCCCTGCCCTTCCTCGTTCATCTCGTCCCCTCTCGCCACTCCCCGTCCCCCTCGACGCCTCCCTTGCGCCGAATCAGCCCGACTGACAACGCTCGTCGCCCTTCCACAGGCCACAACTTTGGCGCCATTCACGACTGCGCCTCGGGCTGCAGCCTCAGCGGCGGGTGCTGCCCGCTCTCGACGTCGACCTGCAACGCTAACGCCGACTACATCATGTCGCCCGTGTCGGAGAAGAACGTGTCGACCTTTTCGCCGTGCTCGATCGGCAACATCTGCTCGACCTTGTCCAACTCGCTCAACACGACCTGCTTGGCGACGCCCGGCCTCGCATCGAACCCGCCCATCATCTCGTACGTCCTCTCTCTGTCTCTCTGTGCCTCTTTCGGTCTCGCGCGTCGTCGAGCTCGGCTAGTGGGCGACGACGTGGCTGGCCTCCCCCTTGATCGTCTCCTCCTGACCACGACCTCCTCCTCCTGCAGGCTCAACTCGTGTGGCGACGGCATCGTGAGCCAGGACGAGGAGTGCGACCCGGGCAGCAACACGGACGACCCGTGCTGCGACGCGTCGACGTGCCGGTTCCGCCAGGGCGCCGTCTGCAGCCCGCGCAACTCGCTGTGCTGCACGGCCCAGTGCCAGGTCGCCAACAATGGCACCGTGTGTCGCCCGAGCGTCGACAGCCGGTGCGACATTGCCGAGACGTGCAACGGGACGAGCTCGGCGTGCCCGGCCGACGAGTACCGGAACGACGGTGCGTCCTCTCTCTCTCTCTCTCTCTCTCTCTCTCTCTCTCTCGCCCTTCCTCCCCCTGCCTGGCGCTCTCTTTCTCCTTCTCCCTCACGAGCAGCGACCTGACTCTGTGTCGCACGTGCAGGTTCTGGGTGCGGCGACGGCCTGTCGTGCGCCACGGGCGTGTGCACGAGCCGCGACCAGCAGTGCCGCAACGCGGGTTCGACCATGGGCATCACGCAGGCGTGCCCGACGTCGGCGACGAGCGACTGCTCGATCGTGTGCCAGGACCCGTCGAGCTCGCGGTCGTGCATCATCCTCGACCAGTCGTTCCGCGACGGCACGTCGTGCCGCAACGGCGGCCGCTGTCGCGGCGGCTCGTGCCAGTCGGGCTCGGGCCTCGAGGCGGCCAAAGGCTGGTACCGCGACCACCTCAACATTGCGATCCCGGTCACGATCGTCGTCGCACTCATCGTGCTCGCCATCCTCGCCGCCCTCGTGCGGTGCTGCTGCTGCCGCGGCGGCCGGTCGGGCAAGGGCGCCGTCTACAAGCCTGGCAAGGGCAAGTCGCACTCGTCGCGTTACGCCGCACCGCCGCCGCCGCCGCCGCCGATGAACATGCAGCAGAACGGCGCGTGGGGCGGAGGAGGGTACTACCCGCCGCCGCCGCAGCAGTACGGCGGCGGCGGGGGCTACGCGCCGCCGCCGGGCCCGCCGCCGACCCATCCGTCCAACGCGTATCAGGGCTCCTTCAACCACGAGCCGCGAGGCGTCTTGCGGCGCTAGGGCGGCGGCGTCGTCGTCGTCGGTGGTCTTCCTCTTCCCCCTCTCGGCGTCCTTTCCCTTCTTTCTCTCGCTCTCTCGACCTCTCAGCACCCACTCGGCTCGACTCGGGCTGTTGTACCACTATGCAGCCCCCCCTCTCTCTGCCTCTCGCGCCTTGTGTAGCCGCTCTCCCCGTCTCTCGTCGACTCTGCAAACAAAGACACTCTCGCTCTCCCTCTCTCCCTCTCGACCGACTCGTCGTCCTTGCGCACACGAGTGAGAGCATCAGACACATTGCGAGCTAGCAAAGACGCCCTCTCGCGAGAGGCACGAACGAAAGAGCGCCCTCTTCGACCTTCTCAAACCGAGTCCTTCCTCCCGCCGCTCATCGTCTCGGCAGCCGCACCGCCCCGTCCCTCGCCGCCGACAACCCCTCCTGCTCCGTCACGAGGTACGGCAGCATCTGCAGCGACGACCGCCGGCCGTGACGCGCCGCTCGCGCCCCCTCTGCCGGTGCGGTCCGTGCCCCAGGCGCTCGAGCGACCGTCGACGGTGCGCCGACAGGCTGCGGGGGACGCAGCGTCGAGCTGGCGAGGAGCGGCTTGAGGCGCTGCAGGGCCGGGAGGCGCGAGACGGCCGGCGACGCGGACGGCCCGAGGCGCGCCGACGAGGCGGTGACGAGCGGGCGGAGCCTGCTCGCGCTCGCCGTCGCCGTCGCCGTCGCCACTGCGTGCGGCTGCGGCAGAGCCGTGCGGCGCTCGGTGGCAGGGTCGGGCTCGAGGACGGGGACGGGCGGGAGGGGGAGCGTCGGCGGCGCGCTCGCCGAGGGGCGGCGGTGCGGCGGTGCGGCGGGCGAAGAAGAGGGTACAGGGAGGGCGGGGCGTCGGAGGGAGGGCGAGGCGCGGGCGTTCGAGAGGGACGGGCGCGGCAGGGCGGACGAGGGCGGCGGAGCGAGGTGCGAGCGCGTCGTCGGCAGCGCTCGACGGCCGACGCTCGGCGCAGGGATCGGCGCACTGCTCGCGCTGCGCCTCGTCACCGGCGAAGCGAGCACCTCGACCTCGTCGTCCTGCTCGTTGTGCGGACCCCACCCCTGCTCGCCCTTGCCGCCTCCTCCCCCTCCTCCCACGCTCTCGATCGTCGTCGCCGAGCTCTGCCTGCGCCCATACCGGCCCCCAACGCCCCTCATCGTCGTCCAGCCAAACCCGTCGCGCTCGAGCGCAGGCGACGTCGCCGGCGTGTCGAGCGACAGGTCGAACTCGGCTTCCGAGTCGGACGTCGACGTCGACGACGAGCTCGTCGACGAGGTCGTGCGACGGCGGCGACGGCGACGGGTCGTCGTTGGCGATGGAGGGAGGAACGACGAGCGGTGCGTGAGCTTGTAGGCCTGCGAGCGTCGAGGAGGTCAGTGCGCGGCTCGGGGGCACAGGGAAGAGGAGAGGAGAGGAGGAGGGACGACGGCGACGCACCCTATACCCGCCAGTCGTCAACGCGCTCCCAGCCTCGCTCGCAACACTCGCGCTCCTGCCCCCGACACTGCTCGCGACGCTCGCCTTGCGCCGCTGCAGCTCGATCAGGCTCTGCACGCGGCGCACGAGCGCGCGCTGCTCCTCCTCGTCCTCGTCCTCGTCCTCCTCCTTCTCGCCCAACCGCTCTTTCCCTCTCTCCTCCTCGACGTCTCGAACATCGCCCCCGCCGAGCCCGTCCTGCCGCCCGCTGGCAGCGCTCGGACCCATCCTCGCGAACGACTCGGCGAGCTCGCTCAAGTCGGCCGTGATGTTGCCGAGGTCGAGCGACGAGCGGCTCGAGCCGCTCGAGGTCGAGTAGGTGCGGGTGCGGGCGCTGTGGCGAGGCGACGAGGCGACGTGTGGCGAGGAGGTGGGCGAGGGCGGCCGAGGACGCAGGGACGAGGAGGTGTGCATGTCGACGGGCGACTCAACGAGGGGCACGCACTCGCCATACGTCTTCGGGATCGGAGGCGGAGCGAATGGGTGCTCGACGAGCCCGGGTCGTGCGGGCGGCGGCGTCGGCGGCAGGCGTCGGAAGCGCGGCGACGTCGGGCTGCCGCTCGCGACCGGGAGCGGCGGGAGCGGCTTTTGCGCGCTTGTCGAGGTGTGCTTCGAGGATAGGGTGTACTTGGAAAGGTCGGGGGATGGGTGCGAAGGGAAGGGAGAGGAAGGGGAGGGCGAGCAGGAGAGAGGTCGAGGAAGGGCGGTCGTCGGCGAGAGAGAGTCGCGGCGGACGGGTCGCGAGACGTCGATGCCGAGACCGACGTGGACGATGGACGCGGAAGGAGGTGTAGGCTGTGCGGGACGAGGCAGGTCAGTCGCTGGGAGGAAAGGGGGACTGAGCGCATGGACGTACAGGAAGCGGAAGGGGCGGCGCTTTCCTCGTCGAGGACAGGGCCGCGACGTCGGCTCTCGACGAAGTGCTCGACGTTGGCAGAGGTGGAAGAGGAGCGCGCGGCGGCGGACAGGGCGGCGGCAGGCTCGGCCGTCGCGAGCCTCTGCTCCCGGTCGCGGACGAGGGCGAGTCGAGGCCCGGCGACATGGGCCCCTCGACGGGCGGTGAGGGAAAGGCGGCGACGAGGGCGCTGAAGAGCCCGTCGTCGACCGAGGCGCACGTCGCGACGGACGACGTCGACGTCGCCCTCGCTCGGCGGTTCTCGCCGTCTCGCCGCGCCACGCCCACACCGTCTTGGCCGTGCTCGCCCACCGCTCGCCCGCCTCGTGCGCCGTTCATCGCCCCCTCGACCGAGACCCGGCTCGTGTCGCCCCGCCGCCGCTGCTCTGCGCCGCCTCGTTGTACGAGCGGGAGGGCCGCCGAGCCGTCTCGCGCTCTGCGCGGCGGTTCCGAGCCGAGGAAGCTGTAGCGCTCGGCGATGGAATTGACCATGTCGACGGTGTGCTGCTGAAGAGGAAGGGCGAGGTGAGGAGGGAGGAGGGAAGGGATTCGGCGCGACCGGCGCGGCGGCGGCGATGCTGGGGTGACGACGGCAGCGGTCGTGCTAGCTTGCGCGGGAGGCTAGCTAGTGGCTCGGCCAGGCGGGCGACTGGTCGGCGGTGGTCGAAGCCGGTGTTGAGCCTCGCCGGCGGGGGTTGACGCTGGACGAAGACGAGGAGCGGCGGTGGTGGTGGTGCACGGAGAGCGGCCAGCGCTTGAGCGTGTGTGCGCGTGCGAGCGAGGAGCGGCCTGCGCTGTGCTCGTGCGGACGGCGACGAGGGTCGGTGGAGCGGTGCGGACGCGAGACGCGCTAGCGCAGAGGAGGAGAGCGGGGGCGCTCGGTGCTCTAGCCGTGACGAGGCGCGAGCGCAAGAGAGCGCAGCGTTTTCCTACCTGTTGGTTGCCAGCTTCGACATGCGAGCTGTGCGGCTGAATGGACCAGCTCGGCGGACCTGCCGCGCACAGGAAGGAATGGCGCGACGAGGAGGATGAGGGACGCGCGCCGACGCGTTTGATTCGCGCTCGCTTCCCCTCGAGCCGCCGCCTCTCTCCTCCTCTTCTCCTCTCCCTCCACTACTCGCGCCTCTGCTGCTTGCTTTGCCACACCCGAATCCCGACCTCGCACACGGCCCGCCGACCACCAACCGGCCCACCCTCCCCTCAGTCTCGCTCAGCCGGCACCCCTCTCCACCTCGTCACTCGCGCGACCGGCACCACCCACCACCCACACCAACTTTCCACCATGCTCGGCAAGCGCACCCGCACCGCAGACAGCACCCCGCCGTCGCCCTCGAACAAGCGGCCCCTCACCGAGTACCTGCCCGCCGTCAAGGGCCCCTCGTCGCCCGTCACGGCCGCAAAGCGCAGCGCACCTCTCGAGCGCTCCCTCTCGCAAAAGGAGAACGCGCACGTTGTCCAGCTCGTCCAGCCGGCGTTCGACGACGTCTTCATGGCCGACGAGGACGAGGAGCAGCGCCCGAGCGACTTTGGTCCGTCCCCTCTCGCTCGACCTCCCGCTTCCCCCGTGCTGACTTCGACTGTCGACGCAGCCTTGCCGACACCGCCGCTCGCGTCCGAGTTCCAGCACGTCCTCGACGCACCCGCACCTGCCGTCGTCGACGAGCCGACCACTGCTCGCGGCTTCTCGAACGTCTACACGCACGCCGCGTCGCTCCTGTCGCCCTCGCTCTCGACGAGCGTCCTCTCTCTCCTCGGCCGCGCCGACCAGCGCGACACCCTCCTCGCCTTCCTCTCGCGCCGCCTCCCAACCGCCTACGCCGCGCTCGGCGAGCCCGGGCCCTCGGCGGCGGCGGCGACGTCCAAGAGGGGACCCGGCCCGGCGGCCATGTACGTCTCGGGCCCGCCAGGCATCGGCAAGACGGCGCTCGTCGGCGCCGTCGTCGACGAGCTGCGGGCGCGCATCGACGAGCGCGCGCTCGGCGGCGAGGTGCGCGTCGCGATGGAGAACTGCGCGACGATCGCGGCGGGCGGTACGGGCGGTGAGAGGGCGTGGACGCGGCTCGGGGCGGCGCTCGGCGTCGACATGGAGGACGGTGAGGCGGCGCTCAAGGCCAAGGAGCGCTTCGAGGAGGGGCTCAAGGACGGGCGCAAGTAGTGCGTCCCACGCTCGCTCCCCCTCCGACCTTTCACTTTCTCGAGGGCCGCGAACTTACTCTCGAGCACCTCGCAGCCTTCTCATCCTCGACGAGATCGACCACCTCGTTGCATCGTCGTCCCCCTCGACTCGCCTTCCCTCGTCCCAGCAGCCCGACCTGCTCAACGCCCTGTTCGCCCTCGCCTCGGTCCCGGCCTCGCCCCTCACGCTCATCGGCATCGCCAACGACCTCACGCTCAAGGCCCTCTCGTTCACGCCGGTCCCGTCGCCGATGAGCAAGGGCAAGGCCACGGCCAAGGTCGACCCGCTCCTGACGCCTGTCAAGCCCGTCCGCCTGCACTTCAAGCCGTACAGCTGGCAAGAGCTCGTCGCCATCGTCCAGCAGCGCCTCTCGCTCCTCGCCCCGACCTACCCGTACCTCGACGGGGCGCCCTCGGTCGTCCACCTCGCCGCCGCCGCCGCCATCGACGACGAGGCGACGTCGGCCAAGAAGGCGCCGGTCCCGCTCATCGACAAGCCCGCGCTCGACCGCTGCGCCAAGAAGGTCGCGACCGGCACAGGCGACGTGCGCACCATGCTCGACGTCGTCCGGCGCGCCATCGCCGCCGCCCAGGCCCAGGCGCTCGCGGCGGGTCCGGTCGACCTCGGCGCCCTGACGCCGGCGAGCGCGCCCCGCGCCGGCATGAAGCACGTCTCGGCCGCGCTCGCGTCGTCGTCGGGCCTGACGGCGGCGCCGTCGCTCGCTGCGCGCCTCGCGGCCCTCCAGGGCGGGCCGCACCAGCGCTTCGTCCTCGTGTCGACGCTCATCGCGCTCTCGCGCCTCAACCCAGCCCCACCATCATCCTCCTCCTCCTCCTCCTCATCGACGGCCTCGCGCGGCTCCGGCTGCGCAGGGCTCGACCGCCCCTCGTCGGCGTTCGAGGCTGCGCGCGTCACGGCCGACGCGGCGTTCGCCGTGTACCGCGACCTCGTCCTGCGCGACGAGGTGCTCGCGCCCTCGGCGCTCGACCAGGCCGCGTTCGTCGAGACGCTCGGCATGGTCGAGGACCTCGGCGGGTTCGTCGTCGTGCGCGGCCGGCCCGGGTCGAGCCCCTCGTCGTCGCCGAGCAAGAAGCAGCCCGGGAGCGGCAGCGCGAGCGGCGGCCGGGCGCGCATCGTCACGCCGACCAAGCTCAAGCGCGGCGAGAAGGGTCGCCTCACGGTCGAGCTCGCGCACACGGCGCCCATGGCCGACCTCGTCGCGGCGCTGACGCAGGCGCCGGCGGCGGGCAGGGAGAGCGATGAGGACGAGGCGGCGCGACGCGCGAGGCGGGCGCTCGAGCGCGAGAGGAACGACCAGCGGTGGCGGGTCAAGCGGGCACAGCTCGGGCGGGACGAGGAGCGGCGCGCCGAGGAGGAGCTCGAGGGGCGAGACTGGGAGAGGGCCTTGCTCGCGAGGGAGGAGGCGAGCGGCAAGGTCTAGCGCGCCCCCCTCTCGTAGATCTCGCCATGCGTCTGTACTCGAGCGTTCTCGCGTGTCCGTGAGCCAGTGTCGGACGGCGAGCGCACGGACCTTCTCGAGGTTCGGGAAGGCCGACCCCGCGCTTCCGACCTTCCCTCTCCTCCTCTCCTCCCTCTCACTCGCCCTCGCTCGCTCTCTTTCTCTCGCACTCGACGCCTATCTCCCGACATGACGACCGAGCACACCGTCGACCGCCACGACGACCTCTCGCAGCTCCCTCGTGCGTCCCCCCCTCTCCTCCTCCCTCCCTCGCCCAACTCGCGCTGATTGCTCCCCGCGCCTCGTCGCAGACCTCCGCCTGCCCGGCATCGCCCATCAACTCTCGCCCCAGCACGGGCGCCCCTCCATCCCGTCCTCGAGCACCTACAGCGCCCCGAGCCGCATGATGCTCCGCCCCTTCTCGGCCTCGTCGCCAACTCGCGCCGTCGACTCGCCCGCCGAGGAGCCCGACATGAACCTCGTCGGGCAGGCGACGCCCTCGCTCGTCGTCACCGAAACGCACACGTCGGGTGCGCGAGTGCGCCCGTCCTTCGCCGTCGACACGCCAGCCCTCGTCACGCCCGCCCTCGTCACGCCCGCTGTCGGCTCGTGGAGCAGCGCCCGCCAGCTCGAGGGCGACGCGTTCCCCTTCCCCTCCATGCCGCTCGTCGTCCAGTCCCACGCGTCGCGCAACCAGTCCGACCCGACCTCGTCGACCCGCCGCTCGTTCCGCCCCGCCGTCCCGTTCGCCCTCGCCGACAGCCCGACGCCGTCGTGGCCCGGCACGCCCGAGGGCAGCTCTGAGGGCTCGGCGACGCCCGACAGCCTCTCGAGCGAGAGCTCGTGCGGCCCCGACGGCGCGACAACGGCGCCGACGTCTCCTCTTGCGGCGCGAGCGCTCTTGGGCCCTTCGCCCGGCGCCGGCGCGCGCTCGCGCATGCGCTCGCCGCTCGTCTCGAAGTTCGACGTGCGCAACCAGCTGCCCGGCGCGACGCACCAGGAGCGCCTGCGCATGCAGCGGGAGCTCGCCGCGTCGCCTGCGTCGGGCAGCGGCGAGGAGACGTCGTCGGCAAGCAGCGGCGCGCCCTCGCCGTGGCAGACGCCGGGCCCTGGCGCCCCCCTGTCGGCCGACTGGTCATCATCGTCGATCGTGACGAGGCTGGCCCCGCACGGCGCGTCGACGCGGCGCCACTTCAAGCCGCCGCCGCACGGCGTCCGCTCGGCGTCGTCGTCGTCGAGCGGGTCCGACTGGCGCCCGGGCGAGCTCAGCTCGCGCTTCTCGGACTGGACGCCGTCCGATTCGCCGCCGGTCGCCGGCTCGTCGCAGGCCCTGCGCGCGAGCGAGCAGCAGCAGGACGACGACGAGCTGTTCGGCATGTTGCCGGCCGTCCTCGAGCGCGGCCCGCACGCGAGGTCTGCGGGCCACCCGCTCCTCGACCTGTCGCCGCACGCCGCCACGAGCGCTGCTGCGCCGCCCGCGCTCGTCCCGCAGTCGTCGGCCGAGCGCGCACGCCTCCTCCTGCGCTTGCGGGCCCTCTCGCTCGAGGTGACGACGGCGCCGCGCGACGCCGACCTGCGCAGCGTTGTCGCGACGAGTGGGAGAGGCAGGGGCGCGACGGCGTCGAGGAGGAACAGCACGGGTGGCGAGACGCTGCGCGACTCTGGTGCGGCAGGGTGAGGTTGCGCTCGAAGTTGCGCTCGAGGAGGCTGTGTGCGGCGGGAGCCTTTGCGTAGTTTGCGAAACGTGCAGCAGAATAGCTTGGCCAGCGTCTGAACTCGCTAGTGAGAGCCAGCAGAGAGCGCTGCATCGTCGGCGACTCGAGCGCACGGACCGGTCGCGGTCGGCGGCGGCCCTGCTTCGAGCCTCGTCGCGGGCTCGTGCGTCGACGTCGGTACGGTCAAGGAGCGGGTGGGTGACGGCGCGAGCTGAGGGCGGCAGGACCTCGGGCGAGACGAGGGCAGCTTGCGGCGGCGGATTCGAGAGGAGGTTCGCTTTGAGCAGGGCTCGTCTCAGTAGCTCGACGCACGTCGCACCGTTCTCTTCCACTGCTATCTGTGTCTCTCTTCCTCTCGGCCGCCACCTTCTCGCGAGAGCCAGTCGCACAGCGCTCGGCGCCGTCGTCCTCGTCCGAGAGCCTGCGACCGAGTCTGCTCGCTGCAGCTTCCAGCTCTGCCTCTCCAGCTCTCGTACTTTCACAGAAAGCTCGACAGAGTGCAACAGTCGAGGCCGCGCTCGTGCAAGACGCTGCAGCCATCGCGAGCGAGCCACCTTCCTCGGCTGCGTCTTTTCGGAGGAGCGGTCCGACCGCGGCCCGGCCTCGAGGCAGCAACGCCGCCCGTTCTGCCCGCGCGCAAAACAGTATCGCACGAGAGGTAAGAGCGTCGTGGAACGAGCGGAGAGCATGTCGATGAAGCGTGCCCGCATGGCGAGGGTTCCTGGCGCTCCACTGCTCGACGAGATCTGCCTGTCGAGGCCGCCAACTTCCAAGCTCCAGCGCAAGCGCTTAAGCTTGCTCGGCTCCTGCGTCGCTCAGACTTGGGCAGAGAGCGAGATCGACAGAATAGCTTGCGCCGAAAGCGCGAAAGGCGCTGCTCAGCGACCGAGGAGAAACGACTCGGAGGTGGACGAGCCGCTCGAGCCACGATGCCGATGCCCTTGCACGCCCCACAAGCTCGACGCAGGCTGCATTTCCACGGGCTCGCGCGCGAGCTGAGATCGGCAAGCGGGCAGAAGAGGAGAAGGGGGAGGCGAGCGAGGAGAGCGGCGGGGCCGCTCGCTCGCCCCGTCCTGCGAAGGCGGCGACTCCCCTTCCGCGTCGTCACCCAGGGCCTGCCGCGCTCAAGACAGCCGAGCGGCGTGCTTGGGCCGAGCGCGGGAGCGGCCAGAGGCGCCCCGAAGTAAGAGGTGAGGTCATTGACGAGAGGATGGAGAAAGGACGGAGGGGAAAGCGGAGGATCGATTCGAGCGGCGGGTCGAGTGGCGCGACGACGGGGCGTGGCGAGCCCGTTGCAAGTCGGGCGGGTAGCCAGTGGTCGACTGCGCAGGTTCTGCAGGCAAGCAGCGCCTGAGCGGTGGCGTAGAGCAGGAGAGAGGCGAGGGAGGCGTCGGCGAGCTTGGGAGCGAGGCGCGCGTCGCAGAGGCCGCGGGGCAACTCGAACGAGGATCCGCGCTCCGCTCCTCCACTCGTTTCCCCTCTGCGGGCCTCGTCTTGCTTGGTTTAGCTGGCCCTGCGTGGCCGAACCTTCGGGCTCAAGCTCTGGCTTTCGTTTTCGCGCCACCGCTCGTCCGCCCGAGAGGCTCGGGGCTCTCCTCCTTCCCCTGCTTCCTCTCCCCTCACCATCCCCGCCGCTTCTCGCGCCCCCCTGTCTGGGCCAGCTTCCACCATGTCGAGCGCACTCAAGCCGACCACGATCAATGCCAGCTTCTTCCCCGAGCACAACGAGCGGGTCGACGACGCGTCCGGCGCGACGCCGAAGAAGGGCAAGCTCTTCCGCAAGAAGAGCGGCAAGCCTCAACAGGCCATGCGCGACCTGAGCGACGACGACGAGCAGCCGCGTCAGACGCCGGCGTCGACCCAGCCGTCGACTCGTCGCTCGTCCATGACCGCCGTCCACGACCAGGTGCGTCCGACCTTCCTTCCTTCCTTCCTCCTCGGCCTCGTCGGTCAGCTAGCTGACCGCTGTCTTTCCTCGCAGGCTGCTTCGTCCTCGGACCCGGAGAAGGGCGAGAAGGCGACCGGCATCAAGGGCGCAGGCGACCTCGACGGCTTCGACCAGGGCAAGATCGTCCTCGTCCAGTTCGAGAAGGGCGACCCCGAGAACCCGCTCAACTGGAGCAAGCCTCGCAAGTGGCTCATCGTGCGTCCTCCTCTCTCTCTCTCGCACGTCGTGACGGTGCGCGCGAGACTGACAAGGCTCGTGTGCGCAGACCTTCCTCTTGTGCATGATGACCGTCATGATCGGCCTGTCGACGACGGCGTACTCGTCTGGTATCGGCTCGATGGTCGAGGAGTTTGGCGTCGCCAACGTCGTCGGTCAAATCGGCATGATGTGGTGCGTCTCTCGCTCGTCTCGCTCGCCCCAAAGTCGCTGTTGGGAAGGCCGAGTGTTGACACCTCCCTTCCTCGCGCAGCTTCAACGGCGCCTGCGCTGTCGCACCGCTCTTCCTTGCGCCCTTCTGCGAGATGGTCGGTCGTCGCGAGGTCTACCTCACCGCCTACCTCTGCTTCACCCTCGTCTTCATCCTCCTCGCCGACGCGCCCAACATTGGCGCTGCCCTCGCCGCTCGCACCCTGTCCGGCCTGTTCGGCTGCGTTGGTACGATCCTCGTCGGTGGCACCCTCGCCGACATCTGTGCGTGTCCCCTTTCACTCTTCCCTCGTCCCCTCGAGTTTGAGAAGGTCCCCAAGTCAACGCACGTTTAGCGACGCCTTGCGCCGCCAATCGTGCTCCGTCTGCCGCGCAAGGACATGTGACTGACTCGTCGGTCCTGCAGGGAACACGCGCGAGCGCGGTCTGCCCATGAGCTGCTTCACCTTCTCGGCCATCTTCGGCACCGTCGCCGCGCCCATCTACTGCGGCTACATCGACCAGTCGATCGGCTGGCGCTGGATCGAGTGGATCCACATGATGTGCGTCCGTCAGGGCTCTCCTCGACACGTTGCTGAGACTGACCCTCGTCTTTTCCCGCAGCGCCAACGGCTGCCTCCTCGTCCTCGAGGTCATCTTCCTCAAGGAGACTCGCGGCGCCAAGATCCTCCTCAAGCGCGCCAAGCAGATGCGCAAGGAGACTGGCCGCAACAACATCCGTGCGCCGGTCGAGCTCGAGAACGAGTCCGTCAAGGACCTCCTCAAGGCGTCGTGCACCCGCTCGGTCGTCCTCCTCTTCAAGGAGCCCGTCGTCCTCGCGTTCGGCCTCTGGATCGCCTACGCCTGGGGCATCACGTTCCTGTTCCTGTCCGCCATCCCGCTCTGCTTCCAGAACAACCACGGTGCGTCCGCCTCGTTCACTCGGTCGACGAGCCCGACTGATTGTCCCTCGTTCTCGCGCGCAGGCTGGTCTGAGGGTGACGGCGGCCTCCCCTACATCGCCCTCGTCGTCGCGTGCTTCATCGGATTCGGCACGTCGCGCTGGTCCGACTCGATCTACGACCGCAAGCGCGACGCCAACAACGGCATCCCAATCCCCGAGTACCGCCTGATCGGCGCCATGTGCTTCGCGTGGATGCTCCCCGCCGGCCTCTTCATCTTCTCGTTCACCCAGTACGGCTTCATCACGCCGGCTGCGCCCATCATCTCGCTCGTCCTCATCCTCGTGCGTCCCGCCTCCTCTCCTTCGACTTAAGAAGGCCCGCACGGACCCTGACTTTCCTCTCCCTCGTCGCGCAGCTCGGCATCTACCACGTCTTCAACGCTACTTACAAGTGCGTTCTAGTCGTCTCAGTTGGTCGAGCGAGAGAGCCCGACGCAGCTACTGACTGTCCCCCCTTCCCGCAGCTTCACTGCCGACGCCTACCCCGAGGTCGCCTCGTCTGCCATCGCCGGCCAGGGCCTTCTCCGTAACATGTTCGGCGGCTGCACTCCTCTGTTCGCCAACCAGATGTTCAACGTGAGTCTCTCGGTCCTCTCAAGGTCCTGGCGGCCTCGCTCGAGGGCATCTTGGCTGACCTCGCCTTTCTTTGTTTCTGCAGGGCATGGGCTACCAATACGCAGGCCTCCTCCTTTCGCTCGTCGCCTCGCTCGCGATCCCCCTGCCGTACATCCTGTTCAAGTACGGCGAGAAGATCCGGGCCAAGTCCAAGTACGCCGCCAACGACGCCGACCTCGAGGCCGAGCGCGTGTCGGACGACGAGAACCAGAACGACGCGCGCCCGACCATCACTCGCGAGGGCACGTACACGGGCCAGCTCGTTTGAGCGGCGCTCGCGGACCCGTTCCTCGCTCGCATTTTTCGCCTTTCGTCCCTCTCCCCGCGATTCCACCTCTTCCCTCCTCGTACAGCCTCGCTTCACTTAGACCACCTTTACACCTCGTAGACCCCTAGACTCTCTGTAGATACCTCTCTCTGCACGCCGCATTCATCGGTGCCGAATTGCATCAATCAGTGTTCCTCCCCTCGTCGTCGACTCGCCGCCGAGAGGGCTCGAGCGTCGACAGCTTTCCTCTCTCGCAGCATCTCTCGGCACGCAACGCGGGCTCGATATCGTCTCGGTGCAGCTGCTCTACAAGTCGTACGGCGGCAGGCCCCACGCCGCCGGGTCAAAGTCCTCCATCGTCTCGTGCTGGTGTGACGGCTCGAGGCCGTGCTCGCCGAGCGAGGCGAGGAGCTCGGGGTCCGGGATCCACACGACTGCGTATGAGAGAGTGTCAGGGATCGCTGAGAGGGAGACACAGAGAGAGAGGAAGGCGAGACGCACCCTCCATTCCTGCTGCACGAGCCGCTTGGACGCCCGAGACGCCGTCCTCGAACACGAGCACTTGAGCACGCTCTTCTGGCGTACTGCGGGACGAACCATCAGTCAGCGAGAGGCCAAGTTGAAGGGAGAGAGAGAGAGAGGCGACGCACTGGATGTCGAGCATCTTGGCCGCCTCGATGAAGATGGTCGGGTCGGGCTTGCCCTTGCCCTCGAGGATGGGGTCGTCGCCGCACAGGATCTTGCCCGTGAACGGGCCAAAGAGGTGACCGAGGTGCGCGCTCTTGATGTCAAAGTTCTTGCGCTTCGAGCCGGTCGCGATCTATGAGAAGGTCCGAGGCGAGGTGAGTGAGCGCCCGAGCGGGGCGGCATCCGAGAGAGGGTGAGGGGGCGCACAGCCATCGGGACCTGGTGCTTCTCGAGATGCCGCACGAGCTTGACGACGCCGGGCAAAGGCTCGACCGAGCGGAACAGGCCGTCGAGCTTGGCGTCCATGGTCGTGAGGAGCTCGTCTACCGAGAGCGGGACGCCCGTCGCCTCGATCAAGCGTGCGGCAGCGTCGTGTGCTGGTCGACCCATGAGCTTGGCCTTGATCTCCCACGTCATCTCCTTGCCGTACGGCGCGAGAACGGCGTTGGTCGCGACCGTGTACAGGCGCTCCGAGTCGATCATGAGGCCGTCCTGTGGACCACACCTGTCAGTCCTCGGTCTGGCATTCTCTGACTGTGCTCTATGACAGCCTGCGCTCGTCCTCGTGATGAGGGACGACGAGGGAGAGCGCCGATTGATGAGAACGAGGGCGGGCTCACCATGTCGAACAAGACGGCTTTGACGGGTGTGGGCGGCATGTCGGACGGCTGCAGATGTCGCTGGACAAGTACGCGCAGCTCCAAAGCAAGGGCTGAGCGGTTCGAAGCGAGAGGGGCGAGAGGGAGAGGTGGGGCGGCTCGCCCGTTGCTGAGCTATCTCGCCAGCCGCAACGCCAGTGCGGTGCTCTGAAGCGCCCAATCTGCTCTACGACCCTACAGCAAAACCCGGACGAGCCGGCCCGAACGCCTGGTCTACCCTCGCTCCGCTTCCTCGAGCGGTGCCTCGCAGCGGGTCGAGCACGAGGGGAGCGCTCGCAGCTCTGCGAGCGGGCAGCGTGGGATTCGAGCGAGGTACAACAGGTGCGTCCACATGCTCTCCTCGCCTTCGAGCCCCGCCCGCCGTCGAGCTGACCGCTCTCTCCTCCTCGACCCTCTGCAGCACCCCTATCTCCGCCTACGCAGGCGCCCGCTGTCCCGTGCCGACATGGCGACCTCTCGAGCAGCCTCTACATCGACCACCAAACGCCCGGGCAAGACGCCGCCGTCCGCACCCGGCACGCCGGCGGTCCTCCCCCTCCTGCACCAGCGCATCCTCTTCCCTCCCTCGTCGACCGCACGTCCTCCCCGCATCCTGCACTCTCCCGCGCACTCGACGCTCGACCCCGTCATCCTCGACCTGATCGCCCTCGCGCTGCGAGCCTTCGTCACGCCGTGGTACAACGGCGGCATCTCGCGCGACCCGGACAAGGCGTTCCTCCAGGCCGTCACGGCCGTCCTCGTGCAGGTCATTCAGGCGCTCGAGGTCCGCCTCGCGACGGTCGACTGGGCAGAGCTCGTCGTGCGAGACGTGCCAGAGCTCGTCGCGGCGCACTACCGCGACTGGGACCTCGCGACTGAGCGGGCCGGGAGCGGCTCGGCGCACAACCTCTCGCCCGAGGAGCTCTTCCACAACCTCGAGCCGCACATCGCCATCTCGCTGTCGACCGCACCTCACGGCTCGTCATCGCGAGCGTCGGTCCCGCACGTCGACAAGGTCTACCTTCGCACCCTCGTCGACCACCTCCTCAAGGCGCTCCTGCCGCCCGACGACTACCGCGCCGAGACGGAGCGCGCCATCGTGCGCGAGATCCTCGTCGGCGTCGTCTTTGGCGCCGTGTTCAACCGCGTCGCGCAGCCGTGGTTCCTGCACGGCGTCATCGCGAGGCAGCTCGAGGCTGTCGAGGCGGCGAGGCGGGCGAGGGAGAAGGGCGAAGAGGCGGCAGCAGGCGCCGCGCATGAGACTTCTGCTGCGCCGAGTGTATTGGAGAGAGCGGCGGCGGCGCTGTCGAGCTTGCCGTCGCGCCTCGGTGGCCTCGTGACCGCCGCGTCCGCCTTTGCGCTCTCCTCGCCGCCAAGCCGCCGCTCGTCGGCGCCTCCTCTCCACACGTCCCTTATCCGCCTCATCTCGGCCGTCCTACCCTCCTCGACCTTCCTCGACACGCTCCTCTCCCTCGTCTCGCTCCCCCTCTCCTTCCTCTCGACCCGCCTCGACTCGTTCCTCTCGCGCTCGATCGACCGCACCATGTCGGCCTCGACGGTGCGCGCCATCCTCGAGGGCGCGACGCGCGGCATGTTCCCGTGTGACGGGTGGCCGGCGCCGAAGGAGGAGGACCCGGACGAGGCGGCGCAGGAGGGGCTCAAGCGGCGGTGCGAGGAGGCTCTTGCGCGGGCTCTGCCAGGTCCGTCCTGTCTCCCTCGCTCTCTCACATACTTGTACCGACCTTTCGACTCGCTGCAGATGCGCTGCCAGCCTGGCTCTACCCGACCCCGCCCGCCGACGAGCCCGATCCTCGACTCGCCCTCTCGCGTCATCTCGTCCGCCCTCTCTCGTCGCACGTCGCCAACGTCCACCTCTTCCTCCTCTTTATCGACCTCGTCGTCGGCCACGTCTTTCCCGAGCTCGTCGTACCGCCGCCCGAGTGACTCAGTCCTCGCGCGAGCCCTTCCCCTTCCCCTCCCGTCCCTCCTCTCTCTCTCGTCGCCCTTTGTCACACTCTCTAGAACTTTTGAAGTCTGTATTGCAACAGTACACTGCCCCAGACTGTCCAAAGAAAGTTGCCAGCACGTCCTCGTCGCCCGCTCGCTCGCCCTGGAGGCTCGAGCGCGCTCCCTCCTCCCTCTCCCTCTCCGCCCGCTCAACTCGAGCCAGAGAGCGCGGCGCTCCAGGTTTCCCTCATGTGCGAGGACGACTTTGGACATGTCGCTGTAGCTGCACGAGAGCGAGAATGTGCAAGAGAAGGACGACGGGCGCGAGCGCGAGAGTCGGTTTGCGAGAGCGACCTCGACCGGCGGCCAGGGCGAGGGCGCGCCTGAGGAGCCCTCGCGAGTGCAAGCACAGCAGGACAAGACGTTCATGACGCATAGGAAGAAGCAGAGCCGAGGAAAGCCGCGAGGAAGAGGCGAGCCGACAAGTTGGGAAAGGGGCTCGAGCCCCGTCGTCGTAGCGAGCGACAGAGTCGAAGAGCGGCCGCAGCGAGTGCGGCATCGAGAGCAGGACATTTGAGAGAGAAACAGGGAGGAATCTCCCGCGCTTAGAGTGAGCCTCGCCGAGTAGAAGGGGTCGAGAGGCTCAAAGAACGCGGTGGGGGGGAGGGGGAAGGGGGAGGATGAGGCCAGAGAGTCGACGCGAGAGGCTGAGGCGCGAGCTCAGGGTGCGTCTCGACGAGAGCGTCGAGTGCAGGGCCCGGCACGCGAGAACGACAGAAGCGAGAAGGGCGACGAACCGAGCGGCGAGCCAGACCGAGCCCTCTCGACGGCGAGCACGAGCGCCGCCAGCTCACTCTCCGCCTCGCCTCGCGCGACGCCGGCCCCACGCCCCGGGATCCTCCAACCCAGATCGCCATTTCCACGACGCGTCGAGGGGGGTGGACGCACTCGACCCGACCGACCCGACCCAGACCACCTTCCTCGACTCGAGGCGCCCGACGCACAAAGGGAAACGCTGCATTGCCAGCCGGCGATGCGCATCTCGAGAGGCACGCAGCCGTCGATCGACGAAGACAGGGAAGACAGTTGATGCGGAGGAGAGAGGAGGAGGAGGAGGTCGAGAGGGTGGGAGGGATCGGCGAGGCGGGCGGACGCCTGTCGACGAGGCGGCTTCAACGGCGAGGAGAGGTGGAGGATGTCGGGGAGAGGCGGGAACACATCGAGAGACGACCAGGGACCGGTTTAACGGTTCTGCGGGCGGGATTGAGCGTGAGTGGGACCGTGCGCGAGGACGAGAGGGGGCGAGGGGAGAAGGGACGCACCTTGGTGAAGCCGATGGCGTCCGAGCGCTCACGGAAGCACTGACGGCAGATGTTGAGGCCGTACTTGCGGATCAGACCAGCCTGGTGCTGGCAGATGCGGCTGTGGGCGAGAGAGAAGGTCAGTTTCGAGGTCATGGTCGCGACGCGTCCTGCTGCGGGCTCGTGCGCCGGCGACAGCCGCCCGACTCGCCCCTCGCTCGTCCGAGAGCACCGCGCAGGTCGTCTGAGTAGAGGACCCGACGCTCGGCCTTGCCCGAGGCGAATCGCGCAAAGCCGGAGCCATCTTGTCCGCTCCACCGCCTCGACCGTCCGCGTCCCGCCCACCGGCCTCGCGACACGCCCCAGCCTCGCCACCGCGTCCAGACGTCGCTCGAGGGTGGATGAAGTCGACGCACCAACCGCGCGAGCCCTTGCCGTACTTGCGCGGGCTGTAGGGAAGCAAGAGCGAGTCAGCCGCGTTTACGGCCCAAAAAAGCGCCGAGATGTTACTTGCTGGCTGTTCCACACGGCGCTGTGCGTCATTGCGTTGGTAGGGAACTAGGGGGGTTGCTGGCGTTGGCAGAGGTGGCGAGGAGGTGGCGAGGAGGTCGCGAGGAGGTCGAAGGAGGTCGGAGGCGCGTAGGGACGGCGGTTTGGCGGCGTTTTCGGCAGAAGAACGTTGTCGACGGCCAGTGGGACGTGTACGACGTCGCACGGGTGCGGCGAGGACGAGGAGAGGTTGTGGGAAAACGTTGTCGACGATTGAAGGCGAGGGGGAGGCGAGGAGAGGGTGGGGACGGCTGTGGTCAGCGCGGTCGATGCGAGAGGGTGCGAGAGTGAGGCGCACAGGTCGGCCTAGGGGGCTGGACGTGAGGACGGTCAAGCACGAGGAGCAGAGCGAGCTGGCGGTCGGCGGTGGGAGGACGCTCGCGCGGGAGGAGCGCCTCCGCCTCGAGCTCGCCCGCGCCATCTGCGCTCGCCTCTTCTCCTTCGTCTCGTTCGCTCCCCTCGAATCAGGCCGCTCGACAACTACCATGGGTATCTCCAGGTCGTCCAGGGACAAGCGCCGCTCCACCGTGCGTCCCCTCTCGCCCACCACATTCCTCCCCCCTCCTCCTCCACCTCGAGTTTTACGAACGACCACCACGCCTCGACGACACCTCGCCCGGGTCCCACGACTGGCCAGTTCGTCGATTAGTGTACCGGCAACATGTTTGAGCCGCCCAGACCGCCCAGATCCCGCTTGAGGGCCGACAAGGGCTGGCGACCTCGGACGAGGACCGGACGACCGCTGGCGACCTCGTACTGACCCTCGCCTCTCCCACAGGGCGCCGCGCCGTCGCCGTACAGGAAGAAGAGGCAGCATGAGGCCGGCCGCCAACCTGCAGGCACGAAGCTCGGCGCCAAGCGTATCCACCCTGTCCGCACCCGCGGTGGGAACCTGAAGCATCGCGCTCTGCGCCTTGAGAGTGGAAACTTCGCCTGGGCGTCCGAGCACTCTACGCGCAAGACCCGCATCATCGGCGTCGTCTACAACGCGACCAACAACGAGCTCGTCCGCACCAACACGCTCGTCAAGGGCTGCGTCGTCCAGATCGACGCTTCGCCGTTCCGCCAGTGGTACGAGGCGCACTACGGCCAGGCCGTCGTCAAGAAGGGTCGCGTGCGTCCTACCGTCCTCCCCTCGTCGAAAACGAGCGAGAACTGACTGTTTGCCCCTCGCCCCACCTTCAACCTCGTCCCCCACTTTCGTTCATGGAATGTTTCGCGCGCCCGCCACCCTCGATAATCCGCAACTCGTCGACCTCCCTCACGGCCCCCACCCGCACGCGTGATGCGCTTTCCTCGACGAGCAGACCAAGGAGGCCCTCGCCGCCGTCGCCGACGAGGCCGACAAGAAGTCGAACCACGTCAAGCGCACCATCGCCGAGCGCCAGAAGGAGGCCAAGATCGACCCGCTCCTCGAGTCGCAGTTCTCGGCCGGCCGCCTGTACGCCGTCCTGTCGTCGCGCCCCGGCCAGTCCGGCCGCGCCGACGGCTACATCCTCGAGGGCAAGGAGCTCGAGTTCTACGTCCGCCGCCTCCGTGCGGGTAAGGCGAAGCACGCCGCCTGATTTCGCGGTCGCGGATTGTCGTGCGGTCAGCGGTGGAACGAGCCTTTCCCTTTTGCGAGCAGCGCGAGGCGAGGAGAGGAGGAGCACGAGAGAGGGCTTGCTGCCGGCCTGTGAGAGAGCCTCTCGTATGCTATGTGTCCGTCTGAGCTTGCAGAACAGCTCGTGCGCTTCAGCACCGTCGTTGCGAGCACGCTCGAGCCTCTTCAATTCTCATCAGCTCGCCCCGACTCTCCCGCTTCTCCCTCTCTCCTTTCGCCTCGCCGCGCCTCCCGCGCACGCTCGCAGGCCCGTGCGCACCTTAACGGTGCCCCTCCCCCTCAGCACCGCCGCTCGCGCCGTCCTCCCCGCTCGCACCACCACGCACGCACCTCGCCGGCTACGGCTCCGAGGCGTTCCTTCCGGCCGCAGCGCCCGGGCGCGCTCGTGTCCGCCCCGCGCACGGCCCACAAGCCGTGCGAGACGGCGCTAGCAAAAGCTCGGCAAGGCGAGCTCTTCTCGTCGTCCCTGTCCGTCGACAAGAGGCCGTCCGCTCGTCCAACTTCTCGCCGTCCTCGTCGCGGCTTCTCTCCCTCTCCGCTCCAGCTCTGCGCCCGCTCGGCCCTTTCACGCTCCTTGCTCCAACCGCCATGTCACTCGGTCGCCTCGCCACGCTCGTCCTCTTTGCCGGTGCGTCCACCTCTCGTCGTTTCTCGAACCTCGAACCCGAGCTGACTTCGTCCTCGAAACAGCCTCGTGCGCGCCCTCGCTCGCCCACAGCGAGCTCAAGGTTCGCCAGTCGGACGACAGCGACGCTCTCGACACGGCGTGGACCGTCATCAAGGACCTCGGGATGTCGGCCATCGAGTGTCCCTTGGACTGCTCGTCGTTCCTCCTCTCGATGGCTCGGGTGCGTCGACTCTCTCTGCCTCACTCAGAGCCTTCCACTGACGACACAGTACGACACGCAGTGCTCGGGACGGATCGCGACCCAGATCAGCTTCACGGCCGGCCTAGAGTGCATCTGCGAGGACGTGCCGACCGGGCTCGACAAGTGCGTCCTCGTCCTCTCTCCGTCTCTCAGACGAGTCCTGACGAGATCGTGACACTGTATTGCAGGTGCTCGGCGTGTACGAGCGAGCGCGACTCGACAGAGGCGACCTCGGGTGGCACGGCCCTCGCGTCGGACTGTGCGTCGGCCTCGCCACCCTCTCTCTCTCCTCTCGCGCTCTCGTGATTGACGGACCGTCACACGTCGATACAGGGATCGACTCAGTGTGCGGCATGATCGGCATGGAGCGCAGCTCGTCGCTCGACGCCTCGTCGACTTCGACGACCGCGGCGCCGGAGACGTTCACGGCCATCGACTCGTCCAACGAGGTCCGTCTCTCCTCTCTCTCACTCTCGGACCGAGAGCCCTCTCGCTGACGCTCCAACCTGACAGGCAAGGACGACGAGCTTCGTCACGAACGGCGTCCCCGTCGACAACGTCATCCCGCTCGAGAGCCGCATCTCGTACCTGAGCGTCGCGTCCGCCTCGTCGGCGAGCCTCGTCTCGCTCGTCTCGGCCGCGAGCGTGAGCGCCGCCGCTCTGTCGAGCTCGGCCGCAGCGCCCTCGTCGACGACGACGAGCGCTGCGACGAGCCAGCAGGCGGCGAGCTCGTCGGTCGACTCGGTGTCGGCTGCGCTCGCTAGCGCGAGCGCCGTGTTGGCGAGTGCGTCCTCGGCGGCGGCGGCAGCGGCGGCAGAGTCGGCCAAGGAGGGCGACTCGTCCGGCGCGAGGAGCGGGAGGGCACAGCTGGGCTCGCTCGTGGGTGCGGGCGTCCTCGCCTGCGGCGCTCTCGCAGTCTGGTAGCCACTCTCGGGACGAGACCGATGGGATAAAGATGAGGTGCAACACGGCCGGCCCGTTCTATTCTCCTCTCGCGAACGGTCTGCTCGAGAGAGCTCTCGTCCCGCCTGGCTCCGTCTACCGTCCGAGCCCGCTCGTGAACCGCAAGACGCCCTCCCACACCTGCTCGACCTGGCGCTTGTTCCACACCGTGGCGAGCAGCATCAAGTCGTGCGGCGTGTCGGCCGTCACGACCTTGTCGACCCGGACGCCGTCCCTCTCCAAATGGCGCACGAGCCTCTCGCCCTCCTCCTCGCACCGGTCGCTCGTCCCGTAGTGCACGAACGTCGGCGGGAAGCCGGCGAGGGCGCCGAGCGCGAGCGAGCGGGCGCCGGGCGAGAGGTACGGCGAGAGGACGAAGGACGAGGGGCGCGAGCCGAGGAGCGAGGTGACGAGGTGGAGGCGGAACTGGGGCGACTCGAAGATGTAGTCGGACGAGTTCTTGCGAGGGACGTAGGTCGAGGCAGTGTGGCCGAGGTAAGAGTGTGCTGCGCGCACGAGATCGAGTACGTCAGGAAGGGGCTCGAGCGCCGAACCGAGGTCGAGAGAAGGAAAGGAAACGGGCTCACAAGGGTCGGTCCAGGGCTGCAGGCGACAGAGATCGTCAGTAAGACGACGCAGAGACATGCTCGACGAAAGAGACGAAGAGACTGAGGGCGCACCGAGAACAAGACGAGCCCTGCCGGCTCCTCCAACTTCCACCCTCCCTCCTCCTCCCACTCCGGTCCGCGCTCCTCCCTCGTCTCCTTGACCCACCTCGTCAGCGCGAGCGCCAAGTGCCCGCCGCTCGAGTCGCCCATGACGACGACCTGCGACCCTCGGACCCCTCGTCGCAGGAGCGAGACGTACGCTGCGGCGGCGTCCTGCAGCGCGGCGGGGAAGGGCGAGTCGGGGAGGAGGCGGTACTCGACGGCTGTGACAGGTGTATCCTGCGTCAGGTCGAATGTGCTTGACCGGGGGCCTCGATCCGAGGGACGAGAGAGGCCGAGTGAGGGAAAGGAGGGAACGGACCGTGGATCGACGAGAAGCGCGGTTCCTGCGCACCCGCCGCAATGGTGGACCCGTCAGTTCCTTTTTACAAAGAACTTGACGCGAGAGAGGCAGTAAGGGGACGCACCCGCTTGAAGATAGTCGAAGGAATCGCAGAGCTGGACGCGCCCGGGTGCGCCGAGTTGTGCGTATAAGCTGCGGTCGGGCGTGGCGAGTCAGTACCGCCGTCGAGTAACGCTGTACCGACACACGGGAGGAGAGAGAAGGAAGGAAGGTGGACGCACCGCCGCCGTGAAGCCAAAGCCCGACAAGCCCCTCGCGCTCGTCGACGCCCTCCCTCGTCCAGCTGTACACCCCCACCTTGTCGCGCACCCTGACCTGGTCATCGGCGAGCACACCCCCGACGAGCGTGCTCTCGAGCCCGTCGACCCACTCGAACCGCACGCCGTGCCGCACGCGGATCCACCACCTGCCGACCGCCCCGGGCGCCGCGTCGGTCCTCCTCGCGCCGATCTTGTACCCGCACGTGTCCATCGTGCTCATGATGCGCTTGACGGCGGGCATGAGGGCGGCGTCGGTGAGGGTCCACGAGGCGCGCCAGCGCCTGCGCGGGACGAGGGCGAACAGGACAAAGTGGTACGGGAGGAGGACGAGGACGAGGGAGAACTGGGCGATGGCGTAGAGGAGGTTGCGCGGGAAGGTGAGGGCGGGAGAGGTGCGGTACAGGGCTTGGGTGTCGACAGAGGGGTCGCCGTCGAGTGACGAGGCTGATGAGGAGGAGGGCGGGGTCGACGGCGCCTTGGGGACGCCAGCGGGTGGTGCGACGACGGTGGGCGAGCTGTCTGTCGAGTAGCGAGCAGCCATCGCTCGCTTGTAGCTCAAGCGGTGGAGCGGGGAGGAGGAGAAAGGGCGACCCGATTGACCTTCCGAGATCGCCGAGCCGGGCGTTGACCTTGACGTCGACTCTCTCGCAAGCACGCACTCTCGTGGCTCACGCACTCGACGGACAGGATGAAGCTTGGTCATGCAGTTGTGCGAGAGACAGAGGGGGAGAGGTGCGGGCGAGGGAGGGAGGGAGGGAGCGAGGGAAGGGGTATCAACGATTCTAGGCGAGGGGAGGGGGAGCAACACGGGCGAACAGGGCAAGAAGGGGAAGGCGTTGGACCAAGGAGGGAGTGTAGAGGGGGCCGAGGCGAGGAAGGCGAAGAGGCGGGAACAGGGACAGGGTCGGGCAACGACGTTGACGACGGGTGCGGAGGAGAGCCTGCGAGAGAGGGCCGCAAGAGGTGTCAGGTTCGCGCGTACGGGTCGACAGGGAAGAGAGAGGGGACGCACGCAACCATCGCGGACCGCCGCCAACCGACCAAGCCTCAGGCCCGACCTGACTCGGCCACGCTCAACGACGACGACGACATCTCCCGTCACCCCCTGCTCGTCGCCCTCGCCTCGCGCAGCCAGTCCGCCCCCTCGAGGTCTCGCACGCCGCACCTCTTCGTCGCGCACCACCGCCGGCGCCGGCGCCAGACCCAGAAGGGAGCGACGGGCCGTTCAGATGAACTCCTCGTCCGAGTCGAAGAACTCGTCGTCGTCGCCCTGCTCGAGCGCGTCGGCGATCTCGGCAAAGTCGACCTTGTACCGCAGGAGGCCACCGATGCCGCCGAAGCCCTTGACGAACTCTGCGAGGGGACGAGAGTGGGCGGGGGAGGGGAGGAGGACGAGGGGTCAGTAGGTCGAACCTTCTTCGCGACGACGACGAGAGACATGGAGAGCCAGAGAGAGAGAGAGAGGGAGGAGGACGCACGAGAGCCCTCCTGCGAGCGGTTCGTGACAAACTCGAGCTCGGCGCCAAACTCCTTGTACTTCTCCGAGAACCACTCGAGCAAGTTGGTCGGCTCCTGCGCCTGCTCCATCTCGAGCCCGGTCGCCTTGTCGATGAACTTCTCGCGGTCGATCTCGCTCAGGGCCGCGATGCCGGTCGTCGCGCCGCCGTCGGACGCCTTGGCGTTGTTGCTCGCCGAGGGCGGCGGCGCACGGACGTACACGATGTGCTCGGCGCCCTGCGAGTCGCGCAGGACGTGGCGCGTCACGTCGAGGTTCTCCCACACGATGAGCGTCTCGACGGCGCCCATCTCGAGGCCTCGGAGCGTGTCGTCGACGCCGAAGCAGTACTTGCCCGAGTCGTGCGAGATCTCGTCAAAGTAGCGCTGGATGAGCCTGCGAGAGGGGTGGACTGTCGTCAGTACTCGCTCACGACCTCCATGCAGGAAAGAGAGGGAGGCGGCAGGGGGACGTACTTCTTCTCCTGGACAAACTTGACGTTGCTGAGCGACTCTGCGGCGAGCTCGATGGCCTGGTTGAAGCCGTTCTCGCCGCCGTAGCTGACGTCGACGATCTTGATGACCTTTGCGACGAGGCGCTGGTCAAACAGGTCGCTCTGGTTGAGCTCCGTCTTGAAGTCGGCGCTACCGGCGAGGACGAGGCCCTGGACGTTGACCTTGTCGTCCGTGATAAAGTGCTGCACGGCGAGCTCGGCCACCTTGCGGACGTAGTTGTGGCGCTTCTCCATGCGCAGGCGGGCGAAACGCAGCGCCGACTGGCCACCGCGGCCGTGCTTCTTGGGCAGGTCGACCGAGAACTTGTGGATGACCTCGCGCGCGTTGCCGGCCAGGTTGCCGAACAGGGCACCGTTGCCGTCCATGACGATGAAGCCAAACTTGGCGTCCGACTCGAGCAGCTCCGAGAGCGCCTCGGTGTGGAACTTGTTGTCGCACAGGTACAGCGACGTGTTGATCGGCTGCGGGCGACGGGGCGAGCAGGGTCAGTAGCCGTCTTGTCGAAGGAGAGAGGCAGTCGGGCGCACCTTGAACGGCTCAAAGTCGATGTTGACCTGTCGAACGACGAGACGAGGGGGGGAAGAGGGTCAGTGACTCGGTCGGCGGAAGGAGTACGAGGACGAGGTCGGCGCACCTTCTTCTCCTTGCCCTCGTCGGTCAGGATTGTGCCGCAGTAGATGATGAGGCCGTTCGGGGGCGTCTTGGGGTAGAGCTTGAGGCGCTGCTGGGTGGACGTGATGGCGGCGAGGACCGAGAGACGGTTGACGCGCGACTTGATGTTGGACGCCGTGCCGTACTCTTGCGTGAGCATCGACTGGAGCTGCGAGATCTGGGACCTGATGGGACGCTCGAGAGGCGTCAGTGGCTGCTGTGGGCAAGGCGGGTCCGTCGAGAGGAGGAGGGGAACAAGGGGGACGGACCGAGGCGGAGCGATGAGCGAGATCATGCTCGTTCCTGCAGAGGGTAGGTGTCAGGGCTGCGAGTGACTGGGAATGAAGACGAAGGTGGCGCACCTGCACCACGGGCGGCCTGCAAGCTCTGGACTGAGGACGGACGACGAGGGTGATGAAGATGGGGTCAGCTGGCTGGCTCTCGCTCTTCGCGCCTGTGCGGTGGGGCGAAAAAGATGCGCTCGTACTCACCGAGCTTCTTCATCCTGGTGAGCAGAACATTCGGCGAGGGGAGAGGGCGGAGAGGACGGGGTCAGCTCGGGTGTCGAGTCGAGTCGGAGGGCGAGGAGACGAGGCGAGAAGAGGGGGAGAGAGAGGGCGGGACGCACTTCCAGACGGCGATGTTGGCATCCTGCTGAGGGTCGGTCGACATGGCGGGCAGTCGTTCGAGCGAGCGCGAGGTGGCGAGGCGAGAGCTTGCCGTCCTCTGCCGCGGAGACGAGAGGCGACGGCCGTCAAAGGGCGCAACCTCGTCCTCACCTCGCTGGGGCTAGCTAGTACTCTCAGCGTCTCCGTAAACTACACGTTCCCGGTTCAGCCGCAGCAACAAGTCCGCTCGAGCGAGTCGGGGTGTCGACCTCGTCCTCAGAGGTGACGCTCGCTCGCGTCTCTCTCTCGCCCGCTTGCACCTCGCGCGGCAGATGCCATGATGCAGCCGTGAGCCTGCTCTCTCACTCTACCTCCCTGTGCACCCGAACCCAACTCACCCCAAGCCTCGCCGCCCTGCAGGACCGACCACCTCCTCCGCCCCCACCCTTGGTCCGTCCGGGCGACGACGACCGCCTCGCATCCGCAACTGCGCGACCTGCTCGCCTACACCCCCGAGGCCGGCAACGCAGTCTCGCTCGTGTGCTACGACAGCATCTGCAGCGTCTCGCTCTACGCCGAGGTGCGCCCCCCTTCTCCCTCCTCCTCCTCTCTTCCCGACCCTCGTGGCTGACCCACTCCCCGCGCACAGCGACCACCCGAGTACACGCCGCTCAAGTTCTCGCCCTCGACCATCTCGACCGGGTGCGGCCTCGTGTGCGTCGGCGGCCAGTCGAGCGAGCTCGCCCTCAAGAGTGCCACGCCCGGCTCCGACTGGTGCCACCAGTACCTGCCCGCCACCTCGCACGCCTCGAGCACGGGCGTGCGCACCCTCCACTCGGGCTCGATCAACAACAGCATCTCGATCGCGCCCTCGCCGCACTCGCCGTCGACCCCGCGCGTCCTCGTGTCGTCCAACGACGAGGCGATCCGCGTCTTCGAGGTCGCCGGCCACCCGCCCGACTTTCGCGCCGCCAAGCGCAGGCGAGAGCGCGAGCGCAGGACTCGGGGCAGCGTCGTCGACCTGTCGTGGGCAGCCGCCGCAGGAGCAGGAGCAGGAGCGTCGTCGGCGAGCAGGTCCGGGCGCACGGGCGGCGGCGACAACGAGTCGGACGACGACGACCGCAACAGCGACGACGAGGGCGACGAGCGTCGCAGCAGCCCCGTCGAGGAGCACCCCTCGTTCGACGCCGGCGGCGAGTGCTTCCTCGCGCCCATCCCGTCGGCCGACATCCGGCTCCGCACGGCCGTCAACCACTGCTCGGTGTCGCCCGACGGCAAGTGGCTCGTCGCTGTCGGCGACACGAACGAGGTCTTCCTGTACGACACGCGCGCGGCGGGCTACGAGCTCGCGCACACGTTCACCGCGAGCGACGATGCGAGTTTCTCGACCGACTGGAGCGAGGACAATGTCACGTTTGCCGTCGCTTCGCAGGGTGCGTCTCGCGCTCTCTCTCTCCCTCTTTCGTCCCTCTCGTCTCAGCGTGACCGACTGACAGGGTGCCCCGACGCACGCAGACGGCTTCGTCCACGTGTACGACCTGCGCGCGCTCCCCTCGTCGTCGCGCCCGGCGTCGCCCACGCTCCGAGGCGCCAACTCGTCGCCGCGCAAGGTCGCCGAGCTGCGCACGACGCAGCCTGGCCCGGCGGGCGCGGCGCGCAAGGTGCGCTTCTCGCCCGGCGGGAGGAGGATCGACGCCGGGCTCATGGCCTTTACCGAGGTGCGCCCGCCTCTCTCTCTCTCTCTCTTTCTCTCTCTCTCTCTCTCTTTCTCTTTCTCTCTCTCTGCCTCGGCGGTGAGAGCCTCACTGACTCTGCCTTTGCCGACAGCACCGCAACCGGGTCCACGTCGTCGACGCCCGCACGTTCGAGACGTTCCAGATCCTCGACGTCCCCTCGGCCTCGTCCTCCTCGTCTACCTCGTCCTCCCCACCTCCTCTCCGCCCACGCCCGCAGCCCCCGGCTCCCCCTCCCGCTCCTCACCGCCCCACGACTCGCACGCGCCCACCCGCCCCGCAGCGGCACCGCAGCGGGACGCACACGCCGCGCGACGAGCGCGAGCGCGACGTGTTTGAGCGCGAGATGCGCGAGAGGAGCGAGAGGCGGCTCGCGGAGGAGGAGGCGAGGGTGAGGAGGTTCAGGGAGGAGCTGGCGGGGCGGGAGGGGGAGGAGGAGGAGCAGGACGAGGAGGAAGACGAGGAGGAGGTGGACGAGGAGGAAGGGGGAGAAGAGGAGGACGAGGAGAGCAGCGACGAGCACGCCGAGGGGAGCGAGGACGACGAGTCGGCCGGATCGAGCGTCAACACGACGCGCGCGAGGCGGTTCGACGGCGGCGAGCCGGCCGCTCGGATCCCCATCATCGACCTCTCGACACCGTCTCGCGCTTCCCCGGCACCGCCCGACACCGACTCGCTCATCCACCGCAACTACCTCGCCGGCTACGCGCCCCTCGCCCTCGCGCCCCCTCCTGCCGCCTCGTCGTCGGCCTCGTACACGCCGTTCGAGCGCACCTCGTTCCTCTCGCGCATCCCGACCTACGCCTCGCCGCCGCACCTCTCGTCCAACGTCGCCTCGGCGACGGGTCGCACGCCCGCCTCGTTCTACTACGCGACGTACCTGCCCGGCTCGTCGGGCTCGACCGCGACGGCTCCTCCATCGCCGCCGCTCGCGCCCGCGACCGCCATGTCGTACTATCCTCTGCCGCACCTCCCCGGCGGCTTCTCCTCGTCGGTCCTCGGCGGGTTTGGCGCAGCCGCAGGAGCGGCAGGAGCGGCAGGAGGCGGCGGCGGGGCCTACTACCCGGCGAGCGCCTACTTCCCGCTCGACAGTGCGCCGGGCGACCTCCTCGGCCTCGACTGGGACGAGCACGGCGAGCGGCTGTTTGTCGCGACCGCGGCGAGGGTGTGGGAGTGGGAGGTGGATCGCGAGGCGAGGAGGGGCAGCGCGGCGTGGGGCGTCAGGTGAGGGCTTGGGGGGCGAGCGCGAGAGGCGCCCGTCTTTTCTGGGCTTGCGAGGTCGTGCGTTGGCGTGTTATTGTACTGCACCGTTCTATCTCGTCTTTCGTGCGCGCGCTCGAGCGTTCGAGGAGAGGAAAGTGCGCTCGAGGCGAGAGGGGGTCAGTGCGCTTTGCGCTCGCGCGTCGTCCTCGTCGCCTCACTTCTCTCGACCTGTCGAACAAGTGCAGCAGCTGTCGAGGGGGCGCATCGCCGTCGCTGCAGGGCGCAGAAGGCAGCCAGAGTAGCGAGGGAAAGAGCGAGAGCGGGAGGCTCGACTTGAGAAGGTGAAAGCGCGCCGTGCTCGCCCGTCCAGCTTCGACCGCTCGGCGTGCCCGGTCCTTTCCACAGCGCAAAAAGCAAGAGCAAGCGTGGCCTCAGGTGGACAAGAGAGGGATGCCCGAGCGGCAAAAGAAGATTTGGAGAACCAGGGAGTCGAACCCTGCGCCTCTCGCACACGATGGTGCTAAGCGAGCGCTCTACCGATGAGCTAGATCCCCTGGTAGATGACAGGCTGGCGCAAAAGTACATACAGGTAATAAGTAAGCAGAGACGACGAAAGAGGCGGCTCGTGCGCTGCTTGACTCGGCTCGCACCGTCGTGGACCAAGCGCTCTCGTGCCTGCGACGTCTGCAGAGCGTCTCTCGTGTCATCAGAGACGAACAGGGCCGCAAGAGGGGTGCCGCGACGTCGCTGCCGTCGCCGCTTTAAGCGCTCGAGCCCCGCTTTCGAGCGGTGCGTTCTCTGCTTGAGGCCGGGTCTGGTCGCCCTCACCATCTCCTATTCTCTTCCGACGACGAGCTTGCACGATGTAGCAGTTTCGAGGGGCTCAAGTGCCGCCTTTGGCTGGCAGCCGGGTCGCATCGAGCACGAGCTTCGAGTCGAGAAGGTCGAGTCTCATACGCTGGCTGTCGACACTGTGCGCATGGACAGGGTCGCGAAATTGCGGAAAGGACCTGCGAGAGACCCTGCAGGCAGTGACCGGCGCGCAGCCGAGGGAGGAAAGCGCGCCGACGCTGGAGGACGCAGCGCTCGCGACGCTTTGGCCCTCAGCTGGCTTTCGAGGCTTCGTCCCGGCGGCAGCGTGTCGCCCTTTGTAGCGTACCTTGTTCTTCTCGAGGCACGTCAAGTACTGCTACCGACGAGCGCAGCTGTGCAGGGAAGCGAGGCTGAGAGAGCAGGCGCGCGCTTGTCGCTCTTCCCGACGCGGGTCGTCCTCCCTTCCTCTCGGCTTTCGTTTGGTTGTGCGCAAGCTGTATGCGCAACAGCCTCTGTCGCTTCATTGCTGGCCAGATGTCCGAGTGGTTAAGGAGACAGACTAGAATCACCGCTTATCTGTTAGGCTCTGCCTGCGCAGGTTCAAGTCCTGCTCTGGTCGTCGTTATCTTTTGCCGCGCAGCCTCGTACGGGCTCAGGTGAGGCTCTTTTTGCCGCCGCGAGATCATGAGAGAAGCGAGGGAAGCGGTTGGCCGACGCTCAGGCCTCGTGTGCCGCGACCTTCCCAAGTCGACTCGCCTCGACGAAGTGACTCTCTCGCGGCTCAATGCTCTCGGCTGATGCAGATCACGCTCTCGTTCCTCGTCTCGCAAGTCATGGCGTACGCGTCAATGCAGGACGAGGCTACTGCAGCACGCCGTCGAGCAGCCCAACCGAGTCGACGACCTCCCACAACTTTCTTCCCGCCTCCTTGTCCCGCTCGTTCGTCGGCATGGCCCTCCCACCACCCGCTGCACCCGCACCGACACCCTGCTGCTGCGCCGCCCCAGCGCCGCCACTGAGCGCCGAGCTGCCGAGCTTGATCTTGAAGCCCGGGTTGCGCCCAGCGCCGACGACGCCCCGCTTGACGTGCGCGCTCGCGCCGACGTCGTCCTCCGAGTCGGACCCTGCGTCGGTCGACGTCCCGTTCCCATCGCCCCCCTCGCCGCCCGACGCCGCCGCGCCAGGGCCCGCGCCCGGTCCTCCTCCAGGTCCAGGCGTCGCGCTGCCCGACCCAGGCGCCGAGGGCGCCAGCTCGGGGAAGAGTGAGTTGCGCAGCGCGAGGCTCTTGGGGCTCAAGACGCCGCTCGACGCTCCACCTCCTGCTCCTCCTCCCCCCGCGCCGTGCCCGTGCCCATGCCCGTGCGCGCCCGCCGACCCATGTGCGCCCGCCGCTCCCGGCGCCGCGCCCGACGCGCCTCCCGGCCCGCCGAGGTGCGCAGGCAGGAGCGGCGCCGGCGTCGGCCGGAGCGGCGGCACGTCCGGGTGGCCCGAGGGCACGCCGTGCGTCGAGCTCGGGTCGAGCACGAACCGCTGCGGCTTGCTCGACGCTCCTGCGCCGCCTGCGCTCGCGCCGGGTGCGAGGGCGCGCACGTGCGGGGGTACGGCGGCCGAGGTCGAGGACGCAGACGACGAGGCGGCGACGGCGGGCGACGAGCCGCCGGTCGAGGCGCGCACGGGCCGCGTCGTGCCGTAAAAGGACGAGGCGCGCGAGCGCGACAGGCGCGGGTGCTTGCCTGCGCCCTGGCCTGTCGCCGCGCCGCTCGACGACGACGGCCCGGCGACGGCAGCCGCTGCGGCGGCGCCGAGCATGGGCGTGTCGCCCTCTGCGTCCCTCGCGGGCGCACCGGCGCGCGCTCGTGCCGAGGCCGACGCGGCGGTAGCGTCGCGCTCGTCGTCGGCGTGGTCGTCGTCGGACGAGCAGTCGTCCGAGTCCGAGTCGGACCCGGGCGGCGCGATGGCGTACATGCGCTCGACGGCGGCGCTCGTCGGGTGCTGCCCGAGGAGCGACGGCGAGATGGCGAACAGGGCGTGGAAGTCGGCGATCGTGAGCGGGGTGCGCTCGGGGAGGAGGTCGTCGGCGGTGGACGACGAGGGGTCGTCGGCCTCGGCGGCGAGTGAGGATGAGCCGGCGACTGGGGCGGGAGGCGCGGCGCCGGCGGGCGCAAAGGTCGAGGCGGAGGGAGGTACGGGTGTCGAGACGGTGGAGGAGGCGGCGGTGCGCGGCAGGGGAGGAGGGGAAGCCGGGCGGGTGCCGCGCACGAGCGAGATGACGGAGGCGATCATGTTGCGAAGGTGGTGCTGCGTGCGCGGTGGGCGTTAGTGCCGGCCGCTGAAAGAGAGAGAGAGAAAAAGCTGGGCGGACCTCGATGGCACCTTGAACGAGCGCAGCCGAGCGCGCCTCGACACCGTCAGGCATGCCCTCCTCGTACGCGAGGGCGACCATGCGCTCGCGCAGCGTCTCGGCGTCGGGCAACATGCGCGACTCGCAGCACAGCGGCAGCTGCACGTAGCGCCCGTAGTCTTGCGCGAGCGCTGTCGCCGAGGCAAGTGTCAGTGCGCGCGCTCATGAAAGAGCGAGAGCGGAACGAGGGACGCACTCGCAGGCAGCGTCGCGCCCTGACGCTCCCGGTCCCGCAGCGCCCTCGGCACGCCGTCCTGGTCGACCCTCGCACCACCGCCCCTGCTCGCCGCGCCGACCGCCTCGCCGAGCGGGTCCCCCTCTGCGAGCCTCCTCCTCCTGCGCTCCTCGGCGTCGGCGCCCTCCTTTGCGAGCTTGCCCTTGTGCGCGACCGCCGCCGCCGCCGCCGCTGCCGCCGTCGCCGAGCCGAGAAGCTTGACCTCGGCGCGCTCGCGTCGGCCGAGCGACATGACCTTGTCGCGCAGGAGCCGTCGGCGCTTGTCCTCGGCGGCCGAGGCGAGGCCGGCACCGTCGCCCGTCAGGCCGCCGGCGCCGCGCTTCTTGGCGCCTCGGGGGTGGAAGCCGCTGTGGCGGACCGAGGAAGGTGGGAGGAACGGGCGGGTCGTGTTGTACAGGATCGAGAGGAGGAGCGCGTTGTGCAGCTTGACTGTGGGCGGGCAGGCGGGCGGCGGCAGCCTCGGGGTCAGCGCGCTCTCGGATGGCAGAGACAGAGAGAGACAGTGGGACGCACACGCCTGATCCCTCACAGCCTGGTCGGGCCCGAACGCCCGGCGCAGGACGTCGTCCCACTCTGCGCGATTGATCCTCGCCGCAACAAAGTCGCCGAGGCCGGTCCAGTACAGGTGGCCGTGGTCCGGGTCGAGGAGCTCTGCGAGGCGGAGCTTGAGCGCGACCGTGTCGGTGCGCTTTGGCGGCGGGTGGGCCGGCGCGGGGAGGAGGGCCGCGATGGAGGTGATGGCGGTGGACGCTGCTGGGGCAGGCGCTGGAGGCCCTGCAGGGGTGACAGCTGCAGGAGAGGCCATGGTCGAGTCCATGCCTGCGCCTCTCTCGGCTGTCGTGAGCCGGCCGGTACGTCGAGTGCGAGCGAGGAGCAACACAGCCGAGTGCGACTTCCCAGCTCTCGCCCACTCTGCGCAGCCAGGCCATACGTACCTGCAAGACTCTCACACTCAAGGCAGACGCACGCTCGAGATAAGCGCAGGCCAAAGTAAAGTACAGCTCGCTCGACCGCCTCCCACGCACGGCTCGAACGCATCTACGAGTACACCTCCCGCCCGCTCACAAGCACAACCGGTAACTGCGTGCGACACGATGCTCCAGTCAGTTCCGAAAGTTCCGAACGAGCTCGACGAGCGACAGACGAGAGAGAGGGAGAGGCGACGCACCTCACATACCGCCCGGCCGTCTCGGACTCGCGCGTGATCTTGACGACCTGCCCGCGCCTGAGGCCGTAGTACCGTGCCACCGGGTCGTGCAGCTGGATGCGCGGCAGCTGCGTGTCCTTGAGGCGGCTGCGGGCGAAAGAGAGGGCGGTGAGCGTGCGTAACCGCTCGTGCCGATCATCCACGCACGGGTCGATCCGTTGACCGGCACCGAGCGAGAAACGGAGGAGAGCGGGACGCACTATCGCTGCAGGAGCTGCTTCTTCTGCTCGGCGGTGAGCACCTCGTGCTTGGGGACGAGGACGTGCTGCGTGATGTTGACGAGCAGCTCCGACTCCTGGAACGCCTCGATCTGGAACTGGCCCGCCATGGCCGAGATGACCTGTGCGTGTGCGTCGTGCGACAGGGTGCGAGGAACTTGTCAGCTATGGGCGCGAAAGAGAGAGGGAGAGGGAGGGAGGAGGGACTCGGGCGCACCTTGTTCGCTGAGGGCGTCATCGACGTCTTGTAGATGAGGATGCCGCGCGCAAACTTTTGCGCTTCGAGGATGTCGATGAACCTGTGCGGGTGCGGTCTCGCGACAAGTCAGCAGCTTCCTTCCGGTTTGCGGCGAGGAGGAGCTCGGGGCGAGGGAGGGCGGACGCACTTGCGCATGGTCTTGATGCCGACCGACGCCTCCTCCGAGTAAAAGACGTAGATCGACTCGCCTGCTGCGTCGGGCTTGGACGCGCTGAAGTTGATCTTGGCCTTGCTGCTCGGGCGGACCGGGGAGGAGGGGAGGAGGAGGAGGACAGGGTCAGCGAGTTCCTGCGTACCGGTGCGCCCGCTTGAGAGACCTGGAGAGAGTGGACGGACTCGATGGCGTTGCTCCCTGCCGCGTACTGCGCCTTGAAGTCGTCGAGTGACATCTTGATCTCGTCCTCGGAGATGGCAAAGCCCTGCGCGGCGGCACGACAGTACGGACGACTCTGGTGAGCTCGGCGCCTCGCTGAGTTCCACAGCAATGAAAGCAGGGACGCACCCTGTCCCGCACGAGCTCGTGGGCTGTCCTCGCGACGCGGAACAGGCGGGCGACCTCTCGCTCGTTGTCGTCGGCCATTTGCGGCGCTGGGTCGGGCTGGTGCTGCTCGGGTCGGCTGTAGGGTGTGGGTGCTGGACGGGCGCACACAGGCGAGCAGGTAGAGCAGAGAGCGGGCGACGAGCGGGGCCGGAGGATGATGAAGAAGGTGAGCTCGCGAGCGGAGAGAGGCGTTTCGAGCCACAGGCACCCGGCGACCACGGTAAGCAGGGGGTCCAGCATGCTCAGCAGATGCTCTTGCGTCTTGCGCACAGCCCAGTCCTGCAGCGCGACCGCTCCATGCTGTCCTCGTCTCGCGAGGCCGCTCTCAAGCTGGCCGGCTCCCGCTCGCTCTCCCAGGCCCCGCTCTGGTGCGGTCGTGCGCAACGCAGTGCAGTGCACAGCCCTCTTCGAGAGGCCTGCGACTACGTAGAGCGCGCGCAGGGTTGCCGCCGCTCGCTCTTCCTTGGCGAGCGAGCCTCTCCCTGCTCCTTCCTCCGCTCCGCACCCGACCATGCACTATCCGCCAGTCCCGTACCCGCCCAACACCGCCGACGTCGACCTCGGCGAGCACCCTGACGCGGGCCTGGCCTCGTGCGAGTCCGCCTCGTCGAGCTCGCCTCCCGCGCCCAAGTCGACCCAGGTGCGCCCTCGTTCCTCTCTTGCACCCTCTCGATGGCGGTGGGACCCTGCACTGACCTTTCTGCGTGTACAGGACGATCCTATGCCGCGCCCTCGGAGCCCTCGCACCGCCCGCTCGCCCTTCAAGCGCCCCGCCCCGACCTCCTCACCCTCGCACGACGCTCGCCTCGGCTCCACACCGAGCGCACACGCTCGCTCGGCGTCGCCGACGCCGCATCGTGCCGCTGAGTTCACCTGGAGCCAGCCGGTCGCGCCGTCGAAGCGCGCGAGGGCGCCGGCGGGGTTCCCGTTCAAGGCGCCAAAGAGCGCCCGCTCGCCGGTCGGCGAGCGCTCGAGCAAGAGGCGGAAGGGGGCGGTCGAGGAGGATCCGACAAAGATGTGCGTCCTTGAGTCTCTCCTGACTGGACGTCGCTGACAAGCTCGTTCCACAGGCTCTCCGCCGACCCGCGCTCGACCCGCTCCCTCGCCACCCCGACTCGCTCCTCCTCAACCACCTCCTCGTCCACCAGCCCGTCCTCCTCCCCCTCGACCTCTCCCTTCCCCACCTCGCGCCCCTTCCCCACGCCAACCCGCACGACGTCCGCCCTCGTCGCCGACTACCGCGCCGCGCTCGCCGACGAGGCCACTTTCCGCGGCATCACCGAGGCCGAGCTGCGCGAGTCGCTCGCGAGGCGCGACGAGGACGAGGGCGAGGACGAGCTGCGGCCGCTTGACGTCGAGCTGCGCGAGAGGGGCTGGGGCGCGCCGCGAGAGGGAGGAGGATCGAGGCGCGAGCGGCTGTCGATGCGCTCGACGGTCGGCGGCGGCGGCGGGGCGGCTCGCTCGCCCTCTCCGCCTCCAGCGTCCACCTCGTCCCACCCAACCAAGCGCTCCCGCGCCCCCCCCCCCGCCGCCTCGACCCTACGCAAGGCGTTCCGCGCGCCGCGCCCCGTCGAGCGCGCTCCCTCGCCGCCGTCGGGCGAGGACGACGACGACGAGCTTCTCGTCGCGCTCGACAGGGCGATCGCGGCATCTTCGGTGCGCTCTGGCAGCGGCACCGCGCGGCGTGGCGGCTCGGGCGCGAGCACGGGAGCTGGAGCGGCGGCGGCGGGAGGGGCGGCGGGACGCGCAGGAGCGAGCGGGGCGCTTGCGCCGGGACGGGCGGGCTCGTGAGCGTCGAGGAGGGCGGCGAGGAAGGTGTACGGGGGTTCGCGCTGGGTCGGGCGGCGAGCCGTGGAGGAGAGGAGGTCGGAGCGCCGAGCGCGCGAGGAGACGGTGGGAGCGCTTGACGGGCCGCGGGGGGTTGCGCTTGAAGGAGGACGGCGAGTGTGTCGATTTGAGTAGCTAAGGGTCGGCGGATGACCGAGAATGCGCTGTGTCCCAGCTGGAACGTTGTCCTCGCCTCGTCGGGCCTCCTGAGAGCGACTTGTGAGCTGTCTCGCCTTCGGCTCTCTCGCTCCGGCTTGGTCCTTTCTCTTTCGTGCTCGCCTTCCATTATTCTCGTCTCCCTCACAGCACAAGCATCGAGAGAAGGAGCTCGGACGGGTTCCCCACACCGCTAGGATCCTGCGTCGTCGCAAGTTGATGGAAGCGAGCGGACAGACCGCTCTCCCTCTCCACACACCGCTCGTCGGCTCGACCAGCTCGCTACGAGCATCCAGGAGCTGTCTACGGGCAAGATGGCCGGCACAGGCGGCAACAAGCTCGCCGTCGTGCTGCTCAACGAGGAGGGCGACCGAGTGCGTCCGCTCAGCTCTCCTCGATTTTCTCCCATCGCCCGCGAGCGAGCGACCGACCTGACCAGGCTCTGTGCACCACAGTTCAATGCCTCGAGCATCGCGCAAGGTCAACTCGGCGGGCGGGCGGCAGCTGACGAGCTGCACCGCATTGCTGGCGCCGAGGTCCAGTCGGCGGGAGGAGGGACGGGCGAGGCGGTCGTGCATCTCGTGACGTGCGTCCCACTCTCTCTACCTACACGCTGTCGAAGCCCCGGAGCTGACCGTCGTTCTCTCTCTCTCGCAGGTGCACCTACGCCGGGAGCAAGGTCGCGGCGCAGGACCAGTGGCTGTCGGGCTTTGGGTCGTCGAGTCAGCTGTGCCACCTTTCGTTGCCCCTCGATGACGGGCGTGGAGCTGCCGGCCGGATCCTGCGTGCGTCGCGTCCTCCCTTCCCTCCTCCTCCCTCCCTCGAGCCGCGCCCTGACCTCGTCCTCCCTCACCGACGCAGAGCTCCTCACGCTGTACCTTCCTCTCGCCTCTGTGTCGACCATCTTCCTCGGCTCGATCCACACGGACTATCTCGCGCCCTACCTCGAGGGCATGCCGCCGCGCCTGCGCGCCAAGATCCAGCTCGTCGAGACGGTGACGGTCGCGCCGGGCGTCGCCGACCTCGTCCAGTCGGGCCTCCTCAAGCTCACGAGCGCGTTCAAGGGCCTGTTTGGCGAGATCGACTCGAGCGGCCAAGACGACGTCAAGGTCGACTGGATGGGCGTCGAGGAGCTCGAGGCGCAGCTTGCCGAGCTCGATGTCGAGCCGCACAGTCCTGTGCGTCCCTCGCCTCGCCTCTTATTCCTCTATGTGACTGTAGACTTATGCTCGACGACCTGCGCGCAGTCTTACTCGAGTACGCCTGAGCCTGTCGCCGTCCCGGCACCGGCGTCGGCGCCGCCAGCCCCGCCCCGTGCTGTGACGCCCGTGGCTCCTGTCGCCCCGGCGCCTCGTCCCGCCCCGACGCAGGAGCAGGCGCAAGCCTACCTCGCCAAGACGGCGCCGTCGGCCAACAAGCCCGAGCGGCCTCTGCTCATCGCGCACCAGAAGCAGGACCGCTTCGCCGTCGACAAGCTCCCCGCATACCCGACGAAAGCGTTCAAGTGCCGCAACTTCCGGTTCGACCCCGACAAGCGCCCGTGCAACCTCTTCTGGCTGTCGCCCGACGGGTGCCCGCACGCCGACTGCACCTACGACCACAACACGCCGTTCTCGTTCGAGGACTTCAAGATGTACCGCCTGTGGGTCAAGACGACCATCTGCGCCGACATGCAGCGCCGCAAGCGGTGCAAGCTGTCCGACGCCGAGTGCTCGCACGGTCACCGGTGCCAGTACACGCTCGACGAGTGCCCGCACGTCCGCAAGGGCAAGTGCCATTACGAGCAGGCCGGTATGCCTCACTCGGAGCCCGCCAACGCCCGGCGGTGGTGAGCGACACGCGGCGGATGAGGGAGCGAGGGGAATGGCGGCGAGCGAGGTGGGCGAGGAGGAGGAGGAGGGTCCGAGCGGGAGGAAATCGAGACGCAGCGCTTTTTCGCATCTTCTCGGCCGTCGCTCTCGTGTTCGCTTCAACTCTGTTTCGCTGCCTCGTCTTCTCCCACTCGTGTGTGTCTGAGAGTTCCTCGGCCGCTCGAGCCTCGCTCGGCGAGGAGCTCAGGAGGCGAGAAGCGGCCGTTCGTCCGTCCGAGCGCCTCTGCTCTCGCTCTCTCTTCTTCCTCTCTCCGAGCTTGTGCCCTCGTGCGACTCGTCATGGCGGCTCAAGGTGCGCTCCTCGTCTCGTTCCTCCACGAGGCGTCACTGACCCTGTCGCCCACCGCAGTTCCCGCCGACCTCGCGTTCGAGGTGGTCGAGCTCCCGGGCAAGGGCAAAGGCGTCGTCTCGACTCGCGCCATCAAGGCGGGCGAGCTCATCCTCGCCGAGTCGCCGGCGTTCACGACGGGCATGCGCCGCACCGAGCCCATGATCACCGCCGCCGTCGACAAGCTGTCGGCCTCGGACCGCCTCGTCTTCCACTCGCTCGCCCTGTCCGACAACAAGGCCGCCCTCGGCCCGTTCCTCGGCCGCATGGAGACCAACGGCATCGAGATGGCGAGCGCGACCGGTGCGCCGCAGCAGGGCCTCTTCCTCCTCGGCTCGCGGTTCAACCACAGCTGCACGCCTAACATCTGCCGCACCTGGGACGGCGGCCTCGGCAAGGAGCGGTTCGTCGCGAGCGTCGACATCGACCAGGACATCGAGCTCGAGATCTACTACGACGCCCTGTACAAGCGCCAGCACGAGCGTCAAAACGAGCTGCACGCCAAGTTCGGCTTCTGGTGCAAGTGCCGCGCGTGCTGCCTCACCGGCGCCGAGCTCGCCGACAGCGACCAGCGTCGCGCCAAGATCGACACGACGCGCCAGGTCCTGCCGCAGCTCATCGCGCAGCCGGCGCGCTTCGTCCAGCTCGCCAAGGAGGCGCTCACCGCGCTCGAGCACGAGGGCATCTACACGGGGCGCGGCCCGTTCGCGTACGACTGCTTCCAGGCGTCGGTCGCGTGGAGCGACCTCGAGGCGGCCAAGCTGTGGGCGGCGAGGAACCTCGAGCTGCAGAAGCGCGAGGCCGGCGTCGGTTCGAGCGAGTTCAAGCGCATGGAGGCGCTCAAGGCCAACCCGAAGGCGCACCGCTCGTGGGGCGCGTTCGGGAGGAAGCAGAAGGTCGAGCGCCCGTGAGCTGGAGCGGCGGCAGGCAGGAGGAGGAGGTCGTCGACGAGAGTTTGGAATCGAGCGCTTTTTCGGCCTTCCCAACTCGCGTCGCACGCTCTCGCCTTGCCTTCTTTCCGCTCTCTCTCCCTGCGCTCCAGCACCATCTCGACTGCTCCTGTTCGAGAGTTTCTGCAGAACTCGAGCGCGGCTCGGCGAGCACTCAGGAGGCGAGGTCCGCCGTCGCCGACGGACGCGCGGACCGCTCGCTCTTCTTCCTCTCCGCCACTCTCTGCTCGCTTCCTCTCCGTCGCTCGACTCGCCATGGCCGCTCAAGGTGCGTTTCACTCGAGCCTCTCTCTTCTCGAGCACACCTGACCTGCGCTCCCACAGGTCCTGCCGCCACCGCCACCGCGTTCGAGATGGTCGACATCCCGGGCAAGGGCAACGGCCTCGTCGCGACTCGCAACATCAAGGCCGGCGAGCAGATCCTCGCCGAGACGCCGGCGTTCGTCGTTACGCCCCGCGAGTGCACCGAAGCGGGCATTGCCGCAGCGGTCGCCAAGCTCTCGCTCTCGGACCGCGACGTCTTCTACTCGCTCGCCCTGGCCGACCACCTCGTGCCCCTCGGTCCTCATCTCGGTCGGTTCAAGAACAACAGCATGGAGGTGTACGACACGGCCGGCGGCGTCTTCCTCGTCGGCTCGCGCTTCAACCACAGCTGCGCGCCGAACGTCTCGCGTCGTTGGGACACGCCGGCGGCCAAGATGCGCTTTGTCGCAAGCTTCGACATCGAGCAGGGCACCGAGCTCGAGATCGCGTACGCCGTCCTGTGCGCACCGCGGGACCAGCGCCAGCAGATGCTGCAGCGCCTCTTCGGCTTCAAGTGCACCTGTCGCGCGTGTACCTTGACCGGCGACGCCCAGGTCAAGAGCGACGAGCGCAGGGCCAAGACCGAGATCATCCGCGACCTCGTCCCGAAGCTCATCGCGCGGCCGGTCAAGCTCGTCGAGCTCGCCAAGCAGGGACTCGCGCTCATCGAGGAGGAGGGCATCGTGACCGGCACGGCCTCGTTCGCCTGGGACTGCTTTCAAGCGGCCGCCGCCTACGGTGACGTCGAGTCGGCCAAGGCGTGGGCGGTCAAGAACCTCGAGCTGCAAGAGCGCGAGGCGGGCGTCGAGTCGAGCGAGTACAAGCAGGTCTCCCAGCTTCAGCACAACCCGCGCCTGCACGGGTCGTGGGGCGTTGCCGGCAGGGTACAGGCCGTGCCGAAGCCCTGAGCAGTCGGTCGACGACGAGGAGCGGCGAGGAGGGAGGAGAGGGAGGAGGAGGGACGAGGTTGCCGAGGGGGACCGTGCAACGAGGCTCGTTCCGCCTGATCGCGTGCGACGAAAGCGTCTCTCTCTCTCCAGGGCGAGGCCGTGATTAATGCAGAGTGGGTCGACGAGTTGCGCGTGCCTCGTTGGTCTCGAGGATCTCGAGGGGAAGCAAGCGGCTTGCGACTCGAACCACTCTCTCGCCTCACCCTCTGCGCTGCTCGAGAGCACCGGCTTACTCTCGCACGCCAACTCGCCGTCGCCGAGTGCCCAGCACCGCTGCGCCCAGCCCGTGTGCGACTCGCCAGGCCTCTCCCCGCGGCCGGCCTCATCTCTCGGATCCCCGCCTCATCGTCCCCGCCCACGGCGCTCCGCCCGCCAGAGCACCCGCACGACACGCGCACCACCTCGAGCAAGATGCAGGGCAACGCGCGGCAGCCCTCGCAAGCCCGCACTCGTCCCTCGACCTCCACCGTCGCCCACCCTCGGCCCCGCTCGTCGCCATCGTCCCGGCTCACGGCCTCACCCACCATGGCCGCCGTGCTCGTCCTCGGACTCGTCGCCAGCATCCTCCACTTGCCGACTCCCGTCCACGGCTACATCCCCGCCAGGCCCGTCAACGACACCTCGTCCCTCGACTCGTCGAGCGACCTCCTCCACTTGGCCTTCCAGAACGGCGTCTACAAGTGCGTCCGCCTTTCTCCCGCTCGGCCTGAAGCTCACACTTACACTCGACTCGACCCACCCGCCTGCAGCACGCCGATCAGCCGTCAACTGTGGGCCGAGGGCTTCGACGACTCGGGCAACTACACCAACATCTCGACGATCGTGCCGTGGACCAAGTTCTCCAAGGTGCGTCCCCCTGCACTCCCAGGCCGTGTCTCGAGCACCCGAGCTGACCGTCTTGCCCGAGCGCGCAGGGTGTCCTCCTCCACTTTGACGAGACGCTGCGCAACCAGCCGCCGACGAACGTCCCCTGGATCGCCATGATCTCGTGCGACACGAACGGCACCAACCCGTCTGACGAGGACGACATCTTTACCATCACGCGCGACCTCGGCGCCCAGGCGGCCCTCCTGTACTCGCTCACGTCCGAGGTCAGTCGCAGCTCGTCTCGACGGCGGCGCTCTCTCCTCGAGAACGGCCTCGCCTGGCGACGAACGGCCTCGACTGACGCTTCTACCACGGTCCACAGGGTTGCCAGATCACCGAGGAGTACCTCACGTTTGAGAAGGTGCTCGACGTCTACGCGACCACGACGCTTCAAGGCTCGCGCATCATCGAGCAGCAGTTCGTGTGAGTGGCTCGCACCCTCTTCCGTCTCGATCGCTCTCAGGAGACTGACTCTTGCCCCGCCGCAGCAACGTCAACGCCGCCGCCGCCGCGTACGACTCGCTCACGCTCAACAACTCGGCCTCGATCGCCCAGGCGCTCCTCGACAGCAACGCCCTGTCGGTCATCGGCAACGTCCCGATCAACGCCTCCTCGACGGCGACCGATGACGACGAGGGCGACGAGACGGCCATGTCGACCGTCGACCCGACCGCCATCGCCGCCGCGACGAGCCCGTCCGTGTTCGACCCGGACAACGACGGCTCGACCTCGAGCGCACCCGACGCGCTCGTCACATCGTCGGAGACGGCGCCGTCGCTGTTCTCGGGCACCTCGGCGGCCGCAGGGCGACTCGTCCGGCGCCAGGCCGCCCCGACCGTCCCGACCGGCTCGCCGCCGACCCGCACGTCGAGCTCTGCGTCGGCCACGAGTACCGCGTTCGGCTCGTCGCAGAACTACCTCGGCGCTGTCATGGCGGCCGCCAACGTCACGGTCGGTGGGCTCAACCCGCCCTCGGCATCGGCCAGCGCGGCCTCGGGCGGCGGCGGCGGCGGCGCAAAGTCGACGTCGATGGCCATGATCATCCTGTACGCCATCACGGGCGTCGTGACGGCCCTGTTCCTCGTCGTCATCATGTCGGGCGCGATCCGTGCCGCTCGTAACCCGCAGGTGTACGGCCCTCGACTCGGCGGCGCCGGCGGGTTTGGTGGCTCGGGCGACGGCGAGGGCCAGACGCGCGCGAGCGGCCTCACGCGCGCCATCCTCGACACGTTCCCCGTCGTCAAGTTTGGCAACGGCCGCGCGCAGAGCGAGGAGCGGCGGGACGAGGAAGCGGGCCCGGTCGTCGGCGACGACGACGACGACGAGCGCAAGAAGGCGGCTGCGGCGGCAGGAGAGGGCGAGCAGATCGAGCTCGCTGTCATGCCGAGCATGGCGCCGGCCATCCCGATGACACGCAGCCGCAGCGCCGACGGGCTCGCTCCTCGAGGCGTGCCACCTGTCGCCGCACCACTCGCCGCCGCCGCTGCCGCCGACGCTCGCCCCAGGGCAGCATCCCGAGCGAGCACGAGCGCCGAGTCGTTCCACTCGGCGGCGTCGACGCCTGTCGCCGTACCCGTCGCTCGGCGTCACTCGACCTCGTCGCTCGAACCCGTCCCGGCAACGCCCAGCTCGACCGCCGCCGCGTCCTCGTCCGCCACCACCCTCGACGCCGCAGCTCCCGTCGCCGCCGTCGTCTCGCCCTCGCAGGCCGCCGTCGAGGCGACGCTCGCCTCTGCCGCCGACGCGGCCGAGGCCGACCTGTGCCCGATCTGCTTCTGCGACTTTGAGGACGGCGACGAGCTGCGCGTCCTGCCGTGCGACAACCGGCACCGGTTCCACAGCGCGTGCATCGACCCGTTCCTCCTCAACGTCAGCCGCCTGTGCCCCCTGTGCCGCCTCGACCTCGCGACGGTCGCCGCGCCGCTCGCCGGGACTAACGACGCGCAGCAGCAGCAGCAGCAGCAGCAGGACGGCGACGGCGCGGCGGCGAGGACGAGCGAGGGAGACGGCGCAGAGGGGGAGCGCCATGAGGAGGAGCGCGTCATCCGGCACCTGCGCGCGCTGCTCCACCGCGGCTCGCACTCGTCGCCGGCCGGCTCGGCGCGCCCTACCGTCCCGGGCGCCTCGTCCACCTCTGCCGGCGGCGGCGGCGGCGGCACAGCAGCAGCAGGTTCCGAGTCCGCCGACGGCGTCGAGGCCGGGTTCCGCAACCGGTTCGCGTCGTACGTGACGGCGCGGCGAGGGCGCACCCGTCGCGGGAGCTCGTTCAGCGGGCCGAGCCGGCTCGGGAGCTCGTTCAGCGCGTGGGCGGCGGGACCGTCGGGCGATGGGCGGATCGGCGCGCCGGTGTGAGCGCGGCGGCGGCGGCGGCGAGCGTCGTCGGGAGGACGAGGAGGAGGAGGCGGAGGAGGAGGAGGAGGTCTGGGCGTCGGTGGGCTCGCCTCTCGTTCTCGGTTCTGGCTCCGCATGCACGATGTGCCCGTCCTTGTTTCTGTTGCCTGTAGCACTAGTCACTTCTCATTTGTCGAACTGCAAAGAGCACGCGCTGTACCTCGAGCCTTGAGTTTCGGCCGGGAGGAGAGCGAGAGCAGCCTTGCAATGGCGGAAAGCTCTGGGGGCTTTCGGCTGCCACCACGAGTTCTTCACAGTGCGGCTCGGCCCAGAAGTACAGCACAGGAAGCGGTCGCGGCGAGCCGTCTCAGGGTTGGTCGGCGCGAGCGGAAGAAGTTGGAGGTCGAGCGCGACGGTCGCCCTTCCTCCGCCTCGTCAGGACCCTGTATTCGGTGTTGGCCGTGTTGTACGACTCCGGATACCTCTCAGGTGCGTCCTCCAACCCTCCCCTCCCCTCCCGAAGGGCGCGGTCGGCCTCTCGAGGTCGGCTCGTCCCCTCCTCCCCCCAGAGCCTCGCTTGTCGCCCTCTCGCGCCTCGAGGAGCCGCACTGACTAGTCGAGCGTGTGCGCGTACCCCTGTTGCAGACCATGGCACCCACCTCGTCGGCCAGCTCGTCGTCTGACGCCGAGCCCGGCCAGCCCATGGCTTCGTCTCTCGCTGGCCTCCCCGTCGGCGCCCAGTCGCCCCAGGGCGCGAGCAAGGGAGAGCCCAAGGGCCTCCAGGACACGCTCGACCTCGCTGTGCGTCCCTCTGTCCCTCCCAGTCGCGGCTCGAGCCCCCTCGCGCTCGGTCAACTGACGGTTTGCCCCTCCTCTCTCCTCCTCCCCTCGTCCCTCGACCTCGTCGCCCTCGACGTCCTCGCCCTGGCCCGGCCCTCGGCTCTGCATGGCTCAGACCAACGCCCAGAGCCCCGAGGCTCTCGCCGCCGTGAGTATCTCGTTCCTCGCATCTGTTTCCTCCCTCCTCCCCTCGTCCTCCCCCTCAGCTCGTCCCTCGGACCGGCGCGTCGATCCTCGTCTCGCCTCGCAACACGCCTCAGATTCGCCTCACTGACACCTCTATTCTCCCTCTCTCTCTTCCATGCGCCGCCTCGCCACGATCCGTCCACCCAACAGAAGCTCGAGCAGAAGCGCCTCGAGCACGAAAAGCAGCGCGAGCTGCAAAAGAAGGCCTTCGAGGAGCAGGTGCGTCCCGCCGTCTCTCACTCTCCGGGACGGTGTCGACGAGTGGTGCGGCGAGCGGCGGCGAGCGCGCGCCGGAGCGGGTGACGGCGGTTGAGCGAGGTTGGGCCTGGCGCGCGCGCTCACGTCCGGCTGGCAGGGGAGCAGAGGCTGTGCCGAAGCGCGACAGTACAGCGAGCTGACCTTGCGCCATCTCCCCATCCTCCCTGCACCTGTCTATCCCCTCTCGCCACGTCCTCGATGTCTTCCACGTCCACCCCTCGTCGTCGTCGCCGTCGCCTCATTTCCCCACCTTCCCCTCGCCTGCCTTCCTTCGCCTTTCGCCGCTCTTCGACTGCCTCTGCACCACCAGATGAAGGAGCTTGAGCGCCAGCAGCAGCTCGAGGAGCAGGCCCTTCTCGGCAAGTCCGGCGGCCCGATCCGCTCGCGCTCGGGCAACGACCTCGCCTCGTTCAACGGCGACGCGTCGACCGCGTCCAAGTACGCCGCCGCCAAGAGCATGCCCGGCTCGCGCCGCCACTCGGGCGAGCTCAAGGACGGCGAGGCCAAGGACGGCGATGCCGCCGCCGCCGGCGCCCGCAAGCAGCCCAACGGCGCCCAGCAGCAGCGCGACGCCGACGGCAAGCCCATGCTCAACAGCTTCCTGTTCGACGACGAGCTTGACGCGGACCTCCAGAGTGCGTCCCGCATCCTCGCCTCGCCTTTGAGCGTCGACCTCGCCCGACGGTCCCCTGACCCCTCCTCTCACCTCCCTCGCAGACTCGGCCTGGGGCGGCAAGTACCTGCAGATGAACAACGACGACGATAAGTTCCCGATCCTGGTCCGCCGCGGCGACGGCCAGGGCCTCACGCCCGCTCGTGCCGGCGGCGAGTGGCCCGCCTTTGCCGGCGGCGCTCCGAACGTGTCGGCCTCGGCCTCGACGCCCACCACCCCGGCGGGCGTCTCGCCCGGTGCGCGCTCGAACGCGCTCCCGCCGCCGACCCAGAGCGAGCGCGCGTCGCCCAACGGCGCCGGCCTGTCCAAGGTCAACGGCGGCGCGAGCGGCGCCATCGGCTCGGGCGCCGTCGACGCCCTCGGCGACCAGTTCTCCAACTTCTCGATCGACACCAAGGTCTTTTCGCCCTCGTCGTCGGGCGTCGACGTGTCGGGCGTGTCGTCCCTCTCGACGCCGTTCCTCGGCGGCGGCGGCGGCGGCTACGTGCACGACCACGGCGCGTTCGTCTACGGCGGTCCGGCGGGCGGTGCCGGCAGTCGCGGCGAGGGCATGGGCGCCAACCGGTTCGCCGGCCTGCGCCTCGAGGACCTCCAGGGCGGTGCGTCCTCGTCCTCGTCCTCTTCCTCCTCGTTCGACGTCGTCGAGCCACGGTGACTGACCCTCTCTCGCCGACGCCGCTCGCAGACATGCTCTCGCTCTGCAAGGACCAGTTCGGCTGCCGTTACCTCCAGAAGAAGCTCGAGGACGGCAACCCCGAGCACCGCGACATGATCTTCAACGAGGTGTTCCCGCACTTCGCCGAGCTCATGACGGACCCGTTCGCCAACTACCTCGCCCAGCGCCTCCTCGAGTACGCGACCGACGAGCAACGCGACGCCCTCATCGAGTCGATTTCGGGCGAGCTCGTGTCGATCTCGCTCAACATGCACGGCACGCGCGCCGTCCAGAAGATGATCGACTTCCTGTCGACCCAGCGCCAGGTCCAGAGCCTCATCCTCGCCCTCAACCTCAACGTCGTCACGCTCATCAAGGACCTGAACGGCAACCACGTCATCCAGAAGTGCCTCAACGCGCTCCCGCCCGAGGACAACCAGTTCATCTACAACGCCGTCGCGACGCACTGCATCGAGGTCGCGACGCACCGTCACGGGTGCTGCGTCCTGCAGCGCTGCATCGACCACGCGTCCGAGAGCCAGCGCATCCAGCTCGTGACCGAGATCACGTACAACTCGCTCACGCTCGTCCAGGACGCGTTCGGCAACTACGTCGTCCAGTACGTGCTCGACCTCAACGACAACCGGTTCATCGAGGCCATCGTGCGCCAGTTCCTCGGCAACGTGTCGGCCCTGTCGGCGCAAAAGTTCTCGTCCAACGTCGTCGAGAAGTGCATCCGCGTCGCCGACGCGACGGGCCGCCGCGCCATCATCGACGAGCTCCTCGTCAAGAACCGCCTCGAGCGCCTCTTGCGCGACTCGTTCGCCAACTACGTCGTCCAGACCGCGCTCGACTACGCCGAGCCCGCGCAGCGTGCCCAGCTCATCGAGACGGTGCGTCCCGACCTCTCTCCTCCTCGCTCTTCCTCCTTTCCTCCCACCTTTCTCGCCCCCTCGCCAGTCCTCCTCGTCCCTCTCTCCTTGCCCGCCATTCTCGACCCCTGTCGTCGTCGTCGTCGTCGTCCCGCCCTGTGCGACCTCGTACTGACGATGCCTCTCCCTCGTCGCAGATCCGCCCGATCCTGCCCATGATCCGCAACACGCCGTACGGCAAGCGCATCCAGTCCAAGATCCAGCGCGAGACGAGCGACCACATGCGCCACGGCGGCGGCGGCGGGTACCACCACCACCAGCACTTTGTCCCCGCCGGCGGCTTCTACGGCGTCGGCCCGCCCATGCACCACGGCGCGCCCCCGCCGCACGCCCTCAACGCGCACTACATGGGCGGCCCGCCGCCGCACATGGCCGGCATGCACGGCGTCGGCCCTCCTCCGCCGCACGCGTTCGGCGACTATGCGCGCGCCGGCTCGCCCTACGGCCTCCCGCCGCACCACGCCGCGCACCTCGGCGCGTACGGCGCGCCGCCGCCGCCGCCGCAGGCCATGGGCCCGCCGATGGGCCACGGCGGCCCGCACGGCGCGCCGCACGGCATGCAGCAGCCGCAGCAGAACGGCGCCGGCGCCGGCGGACCGGGCCCGCAGGGCCAGGCGGCGTTCGCGCCCTTCCCCGGCGTGTCGCCCGGCGGCGAGTACGCGCAGCAGCAGCAGGGCGTCCAGGCCCAGCAGGCGCAGCACTCGTACGGGTTCATGTAAAAAACGTGTCGTCGTCGTTCCCTCCCTCCCTTCTTCCCTTCCTCCTTCCCTTCTTCCTCGCCCGCCCTCTCCCTCTTCTCTCTTCTCTCTACAATCGCCTACAAAAAGAATGTTTCCGTCGTCGTCGTCGTTTGCCACCCCGGGTCTCTCCAAGTCGCTCTCCCCCTTCCCCTCTCCCCCTTTTTTGCCCTCCTACCCCCCCTCTCTCTCTCGCCCCGCCCTTGTTTTGTTCTTCTTGAGCATCTCTGCCTTCCCCGACTCGCTCGTCGTCCGTCTGTGCGGCGGCGGCGGTCATCTCTCTCCCTTCCCGTCGATCTTTTTCTATGTTGCTGCAACCCTGAAGCTCGCAGTCCTCCCCTCGTGTGTGCGTGCCCTTGCGAGAAAGAGAGGGAGCGCGTGCGAGCGCGACGAGCGAGACGAACGAGCAGCCGGCGACGCCTTCTCAAAGTCGAGCTCGCGCAGCCGCCATCCGTCGCCGAGGTCGGCGCACAGCTCGTCCTGCATCCTCACTCTCGTGCTCGCTCTTGTGTGCGCCTCTCCTCGGTCGCTCCGGGGCTGCCAGAGCTCTCAGGACAAAGCTCTCGTCTCTCGCTCGCGGCCTGAGCGCGCCAATCGAAAGCTTTCGCGCGTTGCACCCGCTCGACACGGTCAGCCGCCACCGTCGAGGTCGTCGTCGTTGACCGACCACTTGTTGTCCTGCGCCGAGAGGGAGGAGAAGAGCGTGAGGAAAGACTCGAGGCCGAGAGGAGGAGGGGAACGAGCGAGCGCACCTTGTAGATCTTGCCCTGCAGCGCGAGGAAGACGTGTCAGTGAGCGCTCGGGCCATCGACAGAGCGCTTCAAACGCGCTGTGCGCAGTGCAAGCACTCGAGAGCGGCACAGCGACCGCAGAGACGCGCCTTTTCGAGGATGCACTTGTCCTCCTTGTACTTCTGGCTCGAGTCGGGCGCGCCAAACTGCGTCACACGGGTCCTGCGTCACCTCGCTGCTTCTCGAGAGACGTAAAAGAGCGGACGCACGTATTTCCAGCCGACTTCGGTCGCGCAGCCACGGCAAAAGAGCGCTGCGGAGCGGGAGAAGGTGAGCGCGAGGGAGAGGACGAGAGGCAGAGAGGGCGAGGACCCACGAGCGATGAGGTGCGTGCCGGACATGAGCTGCTTCTTGGCCTTTGGGCCGACGTCGGCGTTGATGCTGCGGCGCTCGAGGGTGTGTGTCAAATTCCGGCGAGTCGGCGAGAAGGAGGAGGGAGAGAGGGAGCCCGACGGACACGGTGCGCCAGAGGAACGCCGGGCCGGACGCGCCCTGGAACGAGCGCGACACGAGCTCGTCTTGCAGCGCGAGCTCGAGCGTACAGGTAGCGCAACGCCACGAGGCGACGTGAGCGGGGAGAAAGGTGTGGGACGACGACGACGGCGGCGAGGAGGGCTCTGTTGCGCTGGGCATGTGCCGAAGAGGTATATGACCGCGGTACGCGAGTATGGCGTCCTCGCTGAGCGTGCCGAGGGCGACAGCTCCACAGAGAGACGAACAGCGACCGAGATCCGAAGGTGGGGCCGACGCCGACCAAGTCGCTTCTCTCGAGCGACGCACGGGCACAGAGAGAGAGAGGGCAATGTCGAACAACAGAGTACACTACAGCACGGCGACGTCTAAGCCCCCGACTCACAGCTCCTCCTCGTCGACCGCCTCGCCGCCCGCTCCTCCCTCTCCCTCGAGGCTCATGCGCCCGAGCCCGTCCGGGTCCAGCTTGTGCGCGAGCGCCCTCTCTCGCTCCTCGAGCCCACTCAACGACCGGTGCCGCCCCTCGCCCGCACCCGTGCCCGTGCCCATCGAAAAAGCCGAGAGACCCCGCCCCGTCGAGCTGCTGAGCGAGCTCGCCGCCGAGCGCGTACCCGCTCCTCCCGCGCCAGCGCCCTGCGCGACGCCCGACACCGCGTGGAAAAAGTGGTGGTGCTGCGACGACGCCGCCGCCGTCGTCGACGGCGAGGGCGAGGGGATCGCGACGGGCTGGGTCCCGAGCGCGCTGAGCGGGAGTGGCGGCGGCGGGGTCGGGCGCGACGAGGTCGAGGCCGAGGACGAGGCGTGCGACGCGGCGGCGGCGGCGAACCCGGGCGAGAGCGAAAGCGACGCGGCGGGCGAAACGGCGCGGCGCTTGAAGGCCTGGTGCGCGTACGGCTCGAAGCGGTCGTCGTTGCCCACTGCGGGTGCGGCGCGACGGTCAGTGCATGGACGACGAGAGTGCGAGAGAGTGCGAGAGAGGGGACGCACTCTTGCGCTTGCCGGGACGCGATGCGGCGAACGTCGTGCTCGGCGTCTGAGGCGCAGCGAACGGGTTCTGCGGGCGCACGAGAAGGGACGAGTCAGTCGACGACGAGCGCGAGGGGGTGAGAGGGAAACGGCGCCGGGCGCACCTCGTAGTCGAGCAGTCGCCTGTCGCCGTGCGGGCTCCTCGCCATCGACCCGGCCGACAACGGCGTCGCGACCGTGACGGCGTTCCCGCCCGGCCCGCTGCGGATCCCGTTCCACACGACGTTGCTCCTGCGCTCCTCGTCGTCCTCGGTCCCGTACCCGCCGACGCTCATGGCGCCGCCCCAGTCGCTCCCGACCTCGATCGCCTCGTCGCCGGCCTCGTCGTTCGAGCTGCTCGACGAGCCACCGCCCATGCGGTGCGACAGCAGGTCCTCGTCCTCGGTGCCGGCCTGCTCCGGGAACCGGTTCGGCGTCGGCCGCGCGTGCTGCTGCTGCGCTGCGCGCGACGCGAACGACGCCGGGTGCGTCGACGAGGCGGCCGGCGCAGAGGACGAGGTCGGCGCGGCGCGAGCGTCGAACGGCGCCGGGCCCGTGCGGCCTGGAGGAACGGCGGACGCGCCGGCGCGCGACAGGCGGTGGAGCGTCGCCTCGCTGACGATCTCCTGGTCGCCCGACGACTCGGAGCGCAGCTCAGACAGGATGCGCAGGTGCGACTTGGGCTTGGGCTGCGGCGAGGGGGAGGCAACGAGGTCAGGCTCGCGCTCGAAGAGAGAGAGAGAGAAAAAGATGGTCGTCGACGCACGAGAAGGTTGGGCTTCCTGCTGACGGGTCGCCGCACGACACGCTCGAACTGGTCCTCGGGCCCGGCACTCGCGCTGCGACTGAGCACGGCGCTCAACTCGTCGATCTCGTCATCGTCGTCGCCCGGCGGGAGCGCGCTCGTCATGGCCGCGATGCGCATCGCGCGCGTCTTGCCGCCGACGCCCGACATGCCGACGTCGCTCGAGCTCCCGCTGCGGCTGCTGCGCCCGCTGCCCGACGCCGTCTCGTCGACGCCGCCGCCGCCGCCGTGATGGTGGGTGCCGTCCTCCTTGAACAGGCGGCGCTGGAGGAACGGCGGGGGCGTCTTGGCGCCGTGCTGGAGCGCTCGGGCGAGCGTGACGGGCGAGGGCGGGATGGCGGTCAAGGGGAACAGCTGCTGCTGCTGCTGCTGCTGCGACGACGAGGAGGGCGGGTTGGCGCCGAGGAGCATGGCCGACGAGGCGCTCCCGCTGCGACTGCGTGTCGAGCGGAACATGCTCGCCGAGGGCGGCGGCGGGAGCAGGTCGGCATCGCCAGCTGCGGGCGACATGCTCATCATGTCGTCGCCGTTGGGCGTTGCCGTGCCGCCGCGTCGATGCGAGTGCGGGTGCGGGTGGTGCAGGTGGTGGTGGCCGCTGTCGCCGTCGTCGTCCCAGGTCATGGTCATGGGCACGTCCGAGCCGAGCGTCGACATCCTGCGGCCGAACGGCGCGCCGCCTGGGCCGGGCTGGGTCGAGGACGGAGGCGGAGCCGGGGGAGGCAAGGTGGACGCCGAGGTCGAGGGGATGGGGGACGCGCCAAAGCCGCGTTCGAGAGCGAGGGTGAGGTTGGAGGGCTGGGATCGCGGCTGGGCGAGGTTGAACGCGCCCCAGGTGGACGAGAAGGGCGGGTGCGCGGCCGCAGGAGCGGGAGGCGTGAGGGGCTGAGGCGGTGCAGCCGACGATGAGGGAGAGCCGGACGCGGTGGGCCAGGGCGTAGAGGTAGGTGCTCGCGACATGCTCTGCGCAGCAGATGCGGCTAGCAGCTCATCCAGAGCGAGAGGTCAAGAGCGAGAGACAGAGAGCGCGTCCACCTCCCCTCCTCGCTGCGACCAACAAAACGCTGCGACACTCTCTCGTACCGGGTCCAGTGCACCAACGAGAGAACGCTTGCATAAGGTATCAAAGACACGCCGGCGACCATACAGGGCACAGACAGACACACTCGACGACCCTCCCCTCCTCGCACCCGACTCACGCCCTCACGCCCGCTCCCCCGGCCGCACCCGCACTCGACGAGTTGTGCAGCAAGCCTTGCCCGAATGCAGCCGCGAACCGCGACAGCGACGCTGTCGCTGTCGACAGCCGGCGCTTGTTGGTCGGCCGCACGGGCGCACAGTCGGCGCCGGCGGCGACAGGGGCGCTCGAGCCCGTTGTTGCCGGGCTCGTCGTGCGCGAGAGGACGGGGAGGGCGGGAGCGTCGTCGTGGGTGGGGAGGGCGGCAGGCGCAGACGCGGTCGAGTCGAGGGGAGGGCGGGACGGGGGACAGGCGAGGGCGAGGGGAGCGTCTCGAGGCGGCTCGCCCGCCGACGAGGACGGCGCAGGCTCTGGCGCCTTGACCGAGTCGGCAGCCGTCGGAAGACGCTGAACATCGTCGAGTGCCCGCGGCGGCTCGTCGGCTGCGCCCGGGCCCGTCGTCGTCTCGCGCTCGCGCGGCTCGACAGGCGTAGCCGGCTCCGAGTCCTGGTCGACCTCGCCGCCCTCGCCGCCTCGAGCGGGCGTATCAGGCGTCCCTCGCCGTCCTCGCTCGCGCGCGAGCTCGTCGACCCCGCCCTTCGCCGCCAGCTGGCCCAGCCTGCTCGCCCTCGCCTCCTCCTCGGCCTCCTCAGCCTCCTTCTCCTCCTCGCTCTCGTCCCTCGCGCCCTTGTCCGCCGCTCGTCGCGCCACCGCAGCGGCGAGCTTGTCGGCCGTCGTCGCCGCCGCCGCACTCGCCGCCGCCTCGGGCGCCTCGCCCGCGTTCTTCTCGCGCGCCTCGCGCTCCTTGCGCTCCTCGGCGCGCTTCTTCTTGGCGCCCGCCGACCACCGCTCGCGGTACGTCGCGCCGTACGGTGTGCCCGTGCCGTCGGGCAGGAGGCCGTAGTGCGTCGCGCGCTCGCACGACGCGCAGCAGGGGGCGAGGGGCACGAGCGCCGAGTGCGACGCCGGGTCGTCGGCGTGCGTCGAGGCGATGGGCGGCGGGGCCGAGCTGGTGGGCGACAAGGGAGGGAAGGGTGCGGACGGGTCGTCGACGAGGGCTGGTGGGTGGCTCGGCGAGCGACATGCCGCGTCGAGCGAGATGTTGGCGGCGCACCGGCGCAGGATCGAGCGGGTGGGCGAGGTCGACAGGGAGCGCAGACATTGTCGGCGCAGGGCGGGGAGCTTGACGGTGAGGCGCGTCGTCGGGTTGGGCGTGAAGAACGGGTCGTCGCAGTCGTCGGCGGTGGAAGATCGTCCGGGCGAGGCCGAGCGGAGCGACCCGAGCGACGAGGCCCTGCGCCTGCCGCCGCCGCTCCCGCTCAGTCGCTCGGGCGAGTGCTCGCGTGCCCTGCCACCGGATCGGCTGCACGCACTGCCGCCGCCGCCGCCGCCGCCGCTGAGGAACGGCTCGAGCGACGCCGTGAAGCCGTTGAGGACGCTGTGCCACGCCTTGCCCGCGACGTCGCCGATTTGAGGGGCTTCGAAGCTGCGCACAGGGCCAAGAGAGGTCAGTGCCGCACTCGGTGGACGAGGGCCCTCAAACCCGAGCGAGGGAGAGAGTGGAGCGCACCTGTAGGCGTGGAGGGCCACCTTGCGCTTGCCGAGCTGCTCCTGGGCGGCCTTGACGAGTGCGGGTTCGGGCTCACCCTCTGCGGCGACGTCAATGAGGAGGGCGAGCGGGCAGAACGAGACGCGGCGGCGCCTCGGGCGGTCGGACGAGGAAGGCGGCGAAGTGGACCGGGGGAGGAGGGGCGCGGCGGTGGACGAGGGCGGGCTCGAGGCGGACGGCGTGGTCGCGAGCGAGGACGTCGAGAGGTTGGTGTCGAGTGGCGGGAGCTGTAGCGGTCTCATCGTGTGCAGAGAGGGAGAGCGAGAGGAGGGTGGGAAGCGGAGGGGGAGCAAGTGTGGGGGACCTCGACCACCGACGTTGCTCGATCAGCTGATCCTCCGCACAGAGCGCAGCTGATCTCTTCGCAACTGGACCGCTCCAGACTCGAAAGTACACCGCAATCCGGCCGACAGCGAGGGAGCGGACTGTGCGACGTCCGCTGCTCTCCGTCTCGCGAGTCTCGCGGCAGTGCGCAGCAGCTGCAGCTGCCAGTTCCCTGACGGCAAGACGCAGCGAAAGCGCTCTCCCGAGAGGGTGCGCAAGCCGGGCGCGAGAGCAGGAGGAGGACGTACGGAGCGGCTCGAGCGCGCCAATCCTCGTCGGTCGTCGACCTCGACCATGGTTCGATACAAAGACCCTGCAGCTACACAGCTCGCACATACGCGAGCTCTAGTCAAACCTGAGCACCCTGACCGTCTCCTCGCCTCGCCCGTCCCTCGCCCGCTCGGCGACGACAATCTTGTCCTCCTCGACCCAAACCCTCCTCACCCTCTGTGGCGCCTCGTCCTCCCCTCGCCGCCGCTCCCGCGCCTGTGAGCCCGACGGCGGGTCCTGCGCCCGCACGCCGGCGCTCCGACGCCGCTTCATGCGCTGCCACGCCGTCGGCGCCGCGCTCCCCTCCCGCTCGTCCCCTCGCTCGCCCTCGCCCTCGAGGTCGCCCGGCGCCGCCCGCACGTCAATGTCGGCCTCCTCGTGCACCGTGCCCTCTCGCGCACGCTTGCTGCCCGCCGCCGGGGTCGGCACGAGCGACCACACCTTGACGGCGCCGTCGTCGCCGGCGCTGATGCATTTGACGCCCGGACCCGCGGCGGCGACGAGGGACGGGCGCAAGGCGACGCTCGCAACGCGCGCCGTGTGGCCGAACAGGGTGCGGCGGTGGACGATGCGGAGCGGCGGGAGCGCAGGGGCGGCCGGGCGCGTCTCGGGGACGAGGCGCGCACTCGACGAGGGCCGAGGTGGACGAGGGGATGGTCCGGGTGCGGGTGCGGCGACGACCTCGTACACGTCGAGCGTGTTGTCGGCGCGACTCGTGACGATGAACGGGTGCGAGTGCTCGATGCTCGTGACCGGGTTGCGCGGTGCGGGAGGCGGCGAGGACGATGTGGCGAGGAGGGGTGCGGTGCGTCGAGGGGTCGAGGGGAGCGCCGCATGGGCAGGTAGGGCAGTCGCGTTGCGGGCGACGATGTGGATCTTGGACACGCGGGCGAGTGAGGGGGAGGGGGAAGGCGGCTCAAGGGTGACGAGGAACTCTTGCAGCCCGACGGTCCACGTGGCGGGAAAGACGGGCGCCGAGTAGGCGAGCGAGACGGTGAAGCGGTCGCCGAGAGGCTCCGGGTCGCCGATCAGTTTGGCTCGATGAGACGCTTCGCGCCTGAGGGAGAGGACGACAGGCGACCAGCTCTCCCTCGTCTGCAGCGGCGTCTCTGCCTCCTCGAGCTGCACCTCATCCACCGACTCCTCATCCAACGACTCCCCAGCCCATCTCGCCACCCGACTGAGGCTCCAAAACCGCATCGTCATCTCCCTCGAGAGCGTGACGAGGATCGGGCCGTGCAGCCTCGCGAGCACGACCGGGTCGAACGGCGAGCTCGGGGGCGCCGACGCCGCCGCGAACGGGTACGCGGGCGGTGCGCCGAGCGCGAGCGACGCGTACACCTCGTGCGCCGAGAAGGGGACGAACGGGTCGGTCGGCGAGGGGAGGGTGAGGCGGAAGAGGGAGAACTGGCCCGTCGAGAAGAAGACGGCGAGGAGCGGACCTCGGGCCCATGGTACAGCGGTCGACGACGACGACGGGTCCTCGTCGAGCCGCATCTCGGTGATGGAGAGCGGCGGGCGAAAGTCGGGTCGGGCGGCAAAGTAGGCGCTCAGCCGGGTCGACGTGACGCTGCCGACAACGGCCGAGTCGCCTGCGGCGAGCGTGCGGTGCACGGTGACCGACGGGATGTCGTCGCCGGTGGTGGGCGTGCGCGAGGCCGACAGGATGTAGTTGTGGTGGAACTGGAGGAGCGTGTCGGCGTCCTCGACAGGGCTCGGCGCGACCGACGGCGACGGCAGGGCCGGTACTGGCGGGACCTCGGCGGGACGGATCGACAGGTCACGAGGAGCCTCGGGCAGGACGGCCTTGCGGATGCCCTTGCCGAGCGTGCTCGTCCTCGCGCTGCCCGTTCTCCAGTTGGTCGAGACCTTGAACAGCTCGCGCCAGGGTCGCGTCTTGGCGACGTTCTCGCCTGCGAAGGCACGTCGACGAACCGATGGCGAGGCGTAGGTGCGCAGGTAGAGCGAGCGCCAGAGCTGCGAGGCGAAAGGAACAAGGTGAGCGTCCCGCGACGACGGCGAGGGTACAGAGGCGCGAGGGACGCACCTGAGGATCTTGCGACAGGCGCCACCATGCACTCGACACCCTCGATACGGTGACGAGGTCGTGCGCGCCGAGGAACGACAGGCAGCGCAGGAGGATCTCCTCGGAGAGCGAGCCCTCGAGCGACAGGAGGGGGAGCGCGGTCGTGCGTGGGCGCTTGGCGGGCGGTGCGCGAGTGCTGCGGTCGTGTAGAAGTGTCAGTGACTGCGCTGCCGGATCGTGTCGGGCCCAGCAAGTGCCGCTCTCGTTCAGGACGGCCGACGCCACCGCCGTCCGGCATCGAGAGGGGGCACGACGAGACCGAGAGAACGGCGAGACGCACCTGTTGCTGCTGCCCTTGAACCTCAGCTGTGCGCTCGAGACTCCCTCCGTACGCTCTGCCGCCTGGTGGCTCGCGTCGCGGACGATGGCGCCGGCTCCACCTGCGAGCCGAGGAGGAGGGTGCGGCTCTTGGGCGTCGTGGGGGCGCGGGCGCTTGGGCATGGCGACGTAGTGACAGTCGGTGTGGTGCTTGTCGAGCACAGTATGGCCCGCCTGGCGCAGAAGCGAGTGGTCGGGAGCTGATGAGGCGCAA